AATCCATCCATCACACACAACATTCACAAATCCATCCATCCACACACACAACATTCACACATCCATCCACACACACAACATTCACAAATCCATCCACACACACACACACAACATCCACACACACAACATCCATCCATCACACACACACATTCACAAATCCATCCACACACACACACATTCACAAATCCATCACACACACACATCCATCCACACACAACACACAAAATCCATCCACACACAACATTCACAAATACATCCATCCACACCACAACACACAACATCCACACACACACACACAAAACCATACAACCCCACACACAACATTCACAAAACCATCCAACCACACACACAACATTCACAAATCCATCCACACACACCATCACAAATCCACACACACACACATTCACAAATCCATCCACACACACAACATTCACAAATCCATCCACACACACACCATCACACACACACACACAACATTCACAAATCCATCACACACACACAACATCCACACACACACAAATCACATCCATCCACACACACAACATTCACAAATCCATCCACACACACAACATTCACAAATCCATCCACACACACAACATTCACAAATCCATCAACACACACACACAACATTCACAAATCCATCCACACAACATTCACAAATCCATCCATCCACACACACACACATCACATCCACACACACAATCCATCCACACACACACACACACAACATTCACACACACAACATCCACACACACACACATTCACAACATTCCACACACACAACATTCACAAATCCATCCATCAACACATACAACATTCACAAATCCATCCATCCACACACACAACATTCACAAATCCATCCACACACACACACAACATTCACAAATCCATCCATCCACACACACAACATTCACAAATCCATCCATCCACACACACACACAGCCATCCACACACACAACATTCACAAATCCATCCATCACACACACACAACATTCCACACACACAAATCACAAATCCATCCACACACACAACATTCACAAATCCATCCATCCACACACACAACATTCACAAATCCATCCACACACACACAACATTCACAAATCCATCCATCCACACACACAACATTCACAAATCCATCCACACATGCAACATTCACAAATCCATCCATCCACACACACAACATTCACAAATCCATCCATCCACACACACAACATTCACAAATCCATCCATCCACACACACACACAACATTCACAAATCCATCCATCCACACACACAACATTCACAAATCCATTCACACACACAACATTCACAAATCCATCCACACACACAACATTCACAAATCCATCCACACACACAACATTCACAAATCCATCCATCCACACACACAACATTCACAAATCCATCCATCCACACACAACATTCACAAATCCATCCACACACACAACATTCACAAATCCATCCACACACACAACATTCACAAATCCATCCACACACACACACAACATTCACAAATCCATCCACACACACAACATTCACAAATCCATCCACACACACAACATTCACAAATCCATCCACACACACAACATCCATCACACACACACACAACATTCCACACACACAACATTCACATCCATCCACACACACACACACACACACACATTCACAAAATCCACACACACACATTCACATCCATCCACACACACAACATTCACAAATCCATCCATCCACACAACATTCACAAATCCATCCATCCACACACACAACATTCACAAATCCATCCACACACACAACATTCACAAATCCATTAACACACACAACATTCACAAATCCATCCATCCACACACACAACATTCACAAATCCATCCACACACACAACATTCACAAATCCATCCACACACACAACATTCACAAATCCCTCCATCCACACATACAACATACACAAATCCATCCACACACAACATTCACAAATCCATCCACACACACAACATTCACAAATCCATCCATCCACACACACAACATTCACAAATCCATCCATCCACACACAAAACATTCACAAATCCATCCATCCACACACACAACATTCACAAATCCATCCATCCACACACACAACATTCACAAATCCATCCATCCACACACACAACATTCACAAATCCATCCACACACACAACATTCACAAATCCATCCATCCACACACACAAATCCATCCATCCACACACACAACATTCACAAATCCATCCATCCACACACACAACATTCACAAATCCATCCACACACAACATTCACAAATCCATCCATCCACACACAACATACACAAATCCATCCACACACAACATTCACAAATCCATCCATCCACACACACAACATTCACAAATCCATCCACACACACAACATTCACAAAATCCATCCACACACACACAACATTCACAAATCCATCCACACACACAACATTCACAAATCCATCCACACACACAACATTCACAAATCATCACAACACAACATCCAAATCCACACACACAACATTCACAAATCCATCCACACACACAACATTCACAAATCCATCCACACACAACATTCACAAATCCATCCATCCACACACAACATTCACAAATCCATCCATCCACACACACAACATTCACAAATCCATCCATCCACACACACAACATTCACAAATCCATCCATCCACACACACAACATTCACAAATCCATCCATCCACACACACAACATTCACAAATCCATCCACACACACAACATTGTCCGAGTCAATATGATGCCTGACTCTAACATCTGTTCGAGTCAATATGATATATGTCTCTATCATCTGTCCGAGTCAATATGATGCCTGTCTCTAACATCTGTCCGAGTCAATATGATGCCTGTCTCTAACATCTGTCCGAGTCAATATGATGCCTGTCTCTAACATCTGTCCGAGTCAATATGATGCCTGTCTCTAACATCTGTCCGAGTCAATACGATATATGTATCTATCATCTGTCAGAGTCAATATGATGCCTGTCTCTAACATCTGTCTGAGTCAATATGATGCCTGACTCTAACATCTGTCCGAGTCAATATGATATATGTATCTATCATCTGTCCGAGTCAATACGATATATGTATCTATCATCTGTCCGAGTCAATATGATGCCTGTCTCTAACATCTGTCCGAGTCAAAAAGATATATGTATCTATCATCTGTCCGAGTCAATATGATGCCTGTCTCTAACATCTGTCTGAGTCAATATGATGCCTGACTCTAACATTTGTCCGAGTCAATATGATATATGTCTCTATCATCTGTCCGAGTCAATATGATGCATGTCTCTAACATCTGTCGGAGTCAATATAATGCATGTCTCTAACATCTGTTTGAGTCAACATGATGCCTGACTCTAACATCTGTCCGAGTCAATATGATATATGTCTCTATCATCTGTCCGAGTCAATATGATGCATGTCTCTAACATCTGTCGGAGTCAATATAATGCATGTCTCTAACATCTGTTTGAGTCAACATGATGCATGTAATTATCATCTGCCCAAGTCAATATGATATATGTCTCTAACATCTGTCCGAGTCAATATGATATATGTCTCTATCATCTGTCCGAGTCAATATGATGCATGTCTCTAACATCTGTCGGAGTCAATATGATGCCTGTCTCTAACATCTGTCTGAGTCAATATGATGCCTGTCTGAATCATCTTTCAGCTTTGATATGACACTTGGCCCTAAAAGTCTGTCTGGATGTTAAAGAGTAGAAAATGTGACCTTGACTTTGATGATTCTGCATGTGACACATGGTCTAACTGTGTTCAAAGTAATTATGTTAAAAACTCATGTAAACGTCTTCTTCAATTCAGAAATGACATAGCCTAGACACAAATGAGCTAGACAGACCACTGAATAATACATAACTTTAGTTAATTTGTACTGGCAGTGTAAGACTTATTATCCGAAAAGAAAATCTAATCTAGCTTCACAAGACATGCTCACAGTCAAACAGCTTTCTCATTAAACCTTAAAAACAGAACATTTCCGTAGAGTTAAAATTCCAGGTTGGAGTATCCAACGGGAATACCTTTCAAGAAACTAACACCTTAAATATATTAAAATCTTAGCAAAGAAGAGTTTAAAAAAAGACATATAATTATATAGATTAAAATATCTGATTCAAATCTCAGAATTTGAAGTTGCTTCAATTTAGTAATCGTCTAATGTTTTTAGTTGAGAAAGACAACCACACATACCATCCTCACTTAATACTGTGTCAGGGTCAATACTTTGCAAAAATTCAAATACCACCCTCATTTAACACTGTCCGGGTCAATACCAGGCAAAACTCAAATACCACCCTCACTCAACACTGTCTGGGTCAATACCAGGCAAAACTCAAATACCACTCTCACTTAACACTGTCAGGGTCAATACCAGGCAAAACTCAAACACCACCTTTGCTTAGTACTGTCATGGTCAATACCTGGCATAACAGCCTTCCATCCTAAGCACCTACTGGTATAATATCTGGATTCTGGGTGATTTGAATCTTCAGAAGCAGATTTCAAAATGTTCAAACATATTTGACCTCTTTAACCTTAAATATGCCAAGGATTGTTAGGATTCTAGGTCATTTGGAACATAGAGAAGAAGATTACTAAAGTTTTTCACTTATTTGACCCTAGGTCAAGGTCATTCACATGAGGAAAATTTAACACACCGAAATCCAGGTACCTCCTGGCAAAATATCATCATGTAGATGTTTACGTTTTTCTAGAAGAAGTTGAAGGATGAATGATGGATTATCACCATTCCATAAGCTCATGGCACTTTGTGCCATATGAACCAAAACACTCCTATACTATCCTCACATAATTCCTTTTGATTCCCCTCAATACCTGCAGATACTACCCTTACATGATCACCTCAGCTTCCCCTTAACCTCCACACATAACAGCCTCATACAATCCCTCATATTCTCAATTTCTTCCTGGAATAATTACCAGAGAGGAGTAAGTGAACCCTATCACCTCCAGATATCCATCGTCATGTCGCTGGGGCTCAAAGCCCAGACTGTTAGGGTTACCCCATGGTGTAGTACCACTAGCATATCTATACAAAATTTAAAACAACATTAAACAGGTCAAAATATATTTCAGCATATACTTAGAATATGTTATGTACTTAATCAGACGTAGAATTATCTAAACATCTATAAAATATAAAACAGGTCTTCTGACTTTCACTTTAACTGTTTTATTTGTCAGTTTTAACACCACAAACTACATATGTAAATTAACCAGGTATATTTGTATAAATATACATAAAATTTATATAGGATACAAATAACATGTACAGATTATTGACAGACATCATGACTTATTAACAATATTTTATCATTAAATAACTATTACCTTGGAATGTTTAAAAAAAGTAAACAATGTAATTTCATTTCCTGGACTTTCATGGTTAAATCCTTGCCATCACACTGGAAAAAACACCACACAGAATTAACCAATTATCTCAAAACAGATGCAACATTTGTAACAAAGAGTATCCCTCCTCTATAGATACAAGTTTTATATGAGTTACTGCTATCAACTAAAATTCAACATGATAGTGAGTCTATTAAATCAACATTGATTATGAGTCTACAGGACATTAAAATTCAACATGAAATGAGAGTCAACAGGACATTAAAATTCAACATGAATTGAGAGTCTACAGGACATTAAAATTCAACATGAATTGAGAGTCTACAGGACATTAAAATTCAACATGAATTGAGAGTCTACAGGACATTAAAATTCAACATGAATTGAGAGTCTACAGGACATTAAAATTCAACATGAATTGAGAGTCAACAGGACATTAAAATTCAACATGAATTGAGAGTCTACAGGACATTAAAATTCAACATGAATTGAGAGTCTACAGGACATTAAAATTCAACATGAATTGAGAGTCTACAGGACATTAAAATTCAACATGAATTGAGAGTCTACAGGATATTAAAATTCAACATGAATTGAGAGTCAACAGGACATTAAAATTCAACATGAATTGAGAGTCTACAGGACATTAAAATTCAACATTGATTTTAAGTCTACTGAACATTAAAATTCAACATGAATTGAGAGTCTACAGGACATTAAAATTCAACATGAATTGAGAGTCTACAGGACATTAAAATTCAACATGAATTGAGAGTCTACAGGACATTAAAATTCAACATGAATTGAGAGTCTACAGGACATTAAAATTCAACATGAATTGAGAGTCTACAGGACATTAAAATTCAACATTGATTATGAGTCTACTGAACATTAAAATTCAACATTGATTGAGAGACATTATAATTCAACATGGATTGTGGGTCTTCTATCAATTTAGTTGCACTGGTTTGCTAATCTACTTACGATAAGTTGAATATGATCCGCTAAACCTTTCCAACTTCTTTTGAGCATATCTCTCCCACCAGCCTGAAACATCAGATACCATGTTTTTTATTACCCAATGTGTATCTATATATTTAATCAATTATGGTTTTGTATATTTAGGAAAATTTTTTTTGATTCATTGTAAGCAATACATAAAATATAGTATCAAAGGAAATGAATTTAACAACAATGTGCCTAAATATAAATACAGAAGGTATTTTCCTGCATATATACAGAATATTGTTAAGCAGTAAGCAGTAATATATACAGATATCACAATGCTATACTGAAACACCAAATACAGAAGGTATTTTCCTGCATATATACAGAATATTGTTAAGCAGTAAAATGACATGTGCTTACCCCGGTATATATACAGATATCACTAAGCAGTAAAATGACATGTGCTTACCCCGGTATATATACAGATATCACTAAGCAGTAAAATGACATGTGCTTACCCCGGTATATATACAGATATCACTAAGCAGTAAAATCACATGTGCTTACCCCGGTATATATACAGATATCACTAAGCAGTAAAATGACATGTGCTTACCCCGGTATATATACAGATATCACTAAGCAGTAAAATGACATGTGCTTACCCCGGTATATATACAGATATCACTAAGCAGTAAAATGACATGTGCTTACCCCGGTATATATACAGATATCACTAAGCAGTAAAATCACATGTGCTTACCCCGGTATATATACAGATATCACTAAGCAGTAAAATGACATGTGCTTACCCCGGTATATATACAGAATATTGCTTAGCATTAAAATGACATGTGCTTACCCCGGTATATATACAGATATCACTAAGCAGTAATATGACATGTGCTTACCCCGGTATATATACAGAATATTGCTTAGCATTAAAATGACATGTGCTTACCCCGGTATATATACAGATATCACTAAGCAGTAAAATGACATGTGCTTACACCGGTATATATACAGATATCACTAAGCAGTAAAATCACATGTGCTTACCCCGGTATATATACAGAATATTGCTAAGCAGTAAAATCACATGTGCATACTTACCCCTGCATAAAACATTTTGTTCCAAAAGCGACTATTGAATTTTTCTGGATTTGCCTCTGAAAATAACAACGTAATGAACAGTTAAGATAATGTAGTAATGTGACATGATATACTTTTTATATCAGAAGAGAGATTACGTAGCTCAAACTTAAAAACAAAAGTTCCATGTCTGTTATCAGAGACTTCTTTTTCATGATGCCTCAAACAGTATGTCATGAAAACTACCCATGAAAATCCAACAATTGCTTTAAAAGGAATTGTGCTTAAAATCTTTGATGGATGGTCAGACAGACATGATTCCAATAAATATCCACTCAAGCTGGACTAGTTCACCTAGGTGGGCAATCAGATCTGTAGACATAAGACATGATTCTTATATAAACCCCCTCAAGCTGGTCTCGTACCTCGGGACTCGTGGAACTCCAAGGCTACGTGGGCATCAGCACCAAGACTGAAGTAGTTGTTGAATATTTTGAGGGGAAGCTGGTCTGTGACACACTCTTCACCATCCACTTCTCCTTCAACGTTTGGCCGCACATCTACATTCCACCTGTCAAGCTGTACTATTTGTCCTTCCTCCACATAACTTAGGAGCTTCGTGATAGGCTCATCGGCATACCCCTATATCAAATATCATTTATAACATTTAAACTACCATCAAAAACTGGATCTTTGGATCATTTATAGCACCTGTAATGAAGTATACACTAACTACACAAGAAGCACACAATAACTACACATGAAGTACACAATAACTATACATGAAGTACACAATAACCGCACAGGAAGTACACAATATCCACACATGAAGTACACATGAAGTACACATTAAGTACACAATAACCACACATAAAGTACACAATAACCACACATGAAGTACACATTAAGTACGCATGAAGTACACAATAACTACACATGAAGTACACATTAAGTACACATGAAGTACACAATATCCAAACATGAAGTACACAATAACCACACATGAAGTACACAATATCCACACATGAAGTACACAATATCCACACATGAAGTACACATTAAGTACACATGAAGTACACAATATCCACACATGAAGTACACAATAACCACACATCAAGTACACAATAACTACACTGGAAGTACACAACAACCACACATGAAGTACACAATATCCACACATGAAGTACACAATAAGTACGCATGAAGTACACAATAACTACACATGAAGTACACAATAACCACACATGAAGTACACAATATCCACACATGAAGTACACATTAAGTACACAATACACATTAAGTACGCATGAAGTACACAATAACTACACATGAAGTACACATTAAGTACACATGAAGTACACAATATCCAAACATGAAGTACACAATAACCACACATGAAGTACACAATATCCACACATGAAGTACACAATATCCACACATGAAGTACACATTAAGTACACATGAAGTACACAATATCCACACATGAAGTACACAATAACCACACATCAAGTACACAATAACTACACAGGAAGTACACAACAACCACTCATGAAGTACACAATATCCACACATGAAGTACACATTAAGTACACATGAAGTACACAATAACTACACATGAAGTACACAATAACCACACATGAAGTACACAATATCCACACGTGAAGTACACATTAAGTACACAATACACATTAAGTACGCATGAAGTACACAATAACCACACATGAAGTACACATTAAGTATGCATGAAGTACACAATATCCACACATGAAGTACACATGAAGTACACATTAAGTACACAATAACCACACATAAAGTACACAATAACCACACATGAAGTACACATTAAGTACGCATGAAGTACACAATAACTACACATGAAGTACACAATAACCACACATGAAGTACACCATAACCACACATTAAGTACACATTTAGTACACATTAACTACATTATTATACATGAAATACACAATAAGCATATACATTTAACACAAATGAGTTAAATCTAAAACATAATGTCTATACATACCCCACCCCAGTTGAGTGTACGTGACAGGTCATTTCCTGTCCCCAAAGGCATGATGGCCACTGGGGGTGGGGGATCCAACCCCAGGCTATCTATCACAGATAAGATCCAACCGACTGTGCCATCTCCACCACACGCCAGAATTCTCAGGTTAGGCACTTTTTTATAAAGGTCCAGTCTGTAATAGAGGCTGTCTATATCAGTGTCTGTCATAATAATTAAATACTGAAGTAATGAAATAATGTTGTGTGGTAGCTTGTTTAGAGAATGACCAAGAAAACAATGATAAAGGTACATGTACTAGTTTGATGGTAAAACTGTCTAGCCAAAACACTGTCACCTACATCACTTATAATGCCATAATTGTCGCTGTACAAATATTTCATTGGTATCAAGATAAATCTACATTTATAGGATTTATATCACATCTCCACCACAAATAAATTCAACTAGACTTATCACAGTATTGGTCCTCCCTGGCTTAAGTCAAACACTTGGTTGGTGTTGAGCCACCAGTTAAACTTGTGTACCTACCCAGGCTTTGGTCCTCCCTGGCTTAAGTCAAACACTTGGTTGGTGTTGAGCCACCAGTTAAACTTGTGTACCTACCCAGGCTTTGGTCCTCCCTGGCTTAAGTCAAACACTTGGTTGGTGTTGAGCCACCAGTTAAATTTGTGTACCTACCCAGGCTTTGGTCCTCCCTGGCTTAAGTCAAACACTTGGCGGGGGTTGAGCCACCAGTTAAACTTGTGTACCTACCCAGGCTTTGGTCCTCCCTGGCTTAAGTCAAACACTTGGCAGGGGTTGAGCCACCAGTTAAACTTGTGTACCTACCCAGGCTTTGGTCCTCCCTGGCTTAAGTCAAACACTTGGTTGGTGTTGAGCCACCAGTTAAATTTGTGTACCTACCCAGGCTTTGGTCCTCCCTGGCTTAAGTCAAACACTTGGCAGGGGTTGAGCCACCAGTTAAATTTGTGTACCTACCCAGGCTTTGGTCCTCCCTGGCTTAAGTCAAACACTTGGTTGGTGTTGAGCCACCAGTTAAATTTGTGTACCTACCCAGGCTTTGGTCCTCCCTGGCTTAAGTCAAACACTTGGCAGGGGTTGAGCCACCAGTTAAACTTGTGTACCTACCCAGGCTTTGGTCCTCCCTGGCTTAAGTCAAACACTTGGTTGGTGTTGAGCCACCAGTTAAATTTGTGTACCTACCCAGGCTTTGGTCCTCCCTGGCTTAAGTCAAACACTTGGCGGGGGTTGAGCCACCAGTTAAACTTGTGTACCTACCCAGACTTTGGTCCTCCCTGGCTTAAGTCAAACACTTGGCGGGTGTTGAGCCACCAGTTAAACTTGTGTACCTACCCAGGCTTTGGTCCTCCCTGGCTTAAGTCAAACACTTGGCGGGGGTTGAGCCACCAGTTAAACTTGTGTACCTACCCAGGCTTTGGTCCTCCCTGGCTTAAGTCAAACACTTGGCGGGGGTTGAGCCACCAGTTAAACTTGTGCATGATTTTTGTTCCCTGATTGCCACCACTCTTTGGATTGATAAACACAAGTAAAGGCTTCAGAAGAGGTGAAGGGATGGGTTTTATAATGAAATGACGATTGTCATCTTTATTTTTCTTTTTCTTCACAGAAGATCGCCTTTTCTTTCGTAAAGATGATTTGAAAGAACCCTGAAAATTTTAATTAATGAAAGTATTAAGCCTGTGTTACAATGTTATACATAGCATCACTACATCATAAATCACGCCTGTCAGATTTAAGTTATATGGTTACAGTGCAATAAACATTACCATTATGGATTTTCTACACTGTTACCACAATTGGTTGTCACCTTACTTGTCTTGAGGGATTTCTATATGGATGTCGAAGATGGTTGTAACAATGGGTTGTTACACTGGGTTGTAACAGTGGGTTGTAACAGTGGGTTGCAACAATGGGTTGTCAAAAAGGGTTGATACAATGAGTTGTAAAAGAGGGTTGTAACAGTGAGTTGTTATAGTGGGTTGTAACAATGGGTTGTCACAGTGGGTTATTACAATGGCTTGTTACAGTGGGCTGTTACAGTGGGTTGTGGGTTGTTACAGTTTGTTTTAACAGTTGTCACATTTGGTTATTTCTGTGGGTTGTAACAGTGGGTTGTCATATTGGGTTGTAACAGTGAGTTGTAAGAGTGAGTTGTCACATTGGGTCATTTGTGTGGGTTGTTAACAGTGGGTTGTTATATTGGGTTGTAACAGTGGGTTGTAACAGTGAGTTGTCACATTGGGTTATTTCTGTGGGTTGTAACTGTGGATTGTCATATTGGGTCTTTTCTGTGGGTTGTAACTGTGAGTTGTCATACTGGGTTGTAACAGTGGGTTGTAACAGTGAGTTGTCACATTGGGTCTTTTCTGTGGGTTGTAACTGTGAGTTGTCATATTGGGTTGTAACAGTGGGTTGTAACAGTGAGTTGTCACATTGGGTTATTTCTGTGGGTTGTAACTGTGGATTGTCATATTGGGTTGTAACAGTGGGTTGTAACAGTGAGTTGTCACATTGGGTCTTTTCTGTGGGTTTGAACAGTGAGTTGTAACAGTGGGTTGTTTCTGTGGGTTGTAACAGTGGGTTGTCATATTGGGTTGTAACAGTGGGCTTTTTCTGTGGGTTGTTTCTATGGGTTGTAACAGTGAGTTGTAACAGTGGGTTGTTTCTGTGGGTTGTAACAATGAGTTGTTACAGTGGGTTGTTTCTGTGTGCTGTGGTTCATTTCCTATGCTCCTGACAGTTTTGAACTGCGACTGTTTCTGACATAGTTTAAGTACAACAAGTGGGTGATTAAGACAGACAGACAGACAGACCAGACAGACCTTGCACTCTCATAATTATTCAACAATGTCAGCGTTCAATGTTTTGAAGTGTTTGTTCTCACATAAATCTGAAAAAGTCGTGACTCTAAATGTTTGTTAAAATCCCAAATGTCTGGACAAAGAGATTGAAATATGTATGGTGTGTAACTGAAGTATTAACACTTGTTTCAGGATCAATAACAGCTGGCTAAAAACGAACCAAAGAAATCTTTGGGCTTCTTACATGTATTATACAGTATGAACGTATATTGTCATCGAGGAAAAATAATGACACCATGAAAACACACCATAAACCAATACATCAGTCCAAATTAGTAGGGGTTAGTGCAGTATGACATCACGGTGGTTACTGGACCAGGAATGTGCCTGGTTGTACTTCATACTAAACAAACCAGAAATCATTTACTTGTTATTAGCAGTGTAAAGTATTTTATTTCCATCCCTTGATCAGTATCTACTATGAACCTTACAATATTAATAAAGAAGAGGACCTATTCAGCACAAGTATTTCAGACACCAACAAGAGGCACATAGGGCATGTATCGCCCACTTGGCTTTGTTTGGCTAAAATTATTCCATCCAAACGAAAGGAAAAGAAATTTGATATTTAAACACAACATACAGTATATCTGTCCTCAAGGGATGAGACAAACAATTTGTACCAAACTGAGACAGAATTTCCTACAGAAAAAGAATTCTAAAGAACGGAGACGGAATTTCCTACAGAAAAAGAATTCTAAAGAACGGAGACGGAATTTCCTACAGAAAAAGAATTCTAAAGAACGGAGACGGAATTTCCTACAGAAAAAGAATTCTAAAGAACGGAGACGGAATTTCCTACAGAAAAAGAATTCTAAAGAACGGAGACGGAATTTCCTACAGAAAAAGAATTCTAAAGAACGGAGACGGGATTTCCTACAGAAAAAGAATTCTAAAGAACGGAGACGGGAATTTCCTACAGAAAAAGAATTCTAAAGAACGGAGACGGGAATTTCCTACAGAAAAAGAATTCTAAAGAACGGAGACGGAATTTCCTACAGAAAAAGAATTTTAAAGAATTTGCTCTATTCCCATTTCCAATGGGTCCTAACCCTCCCATCCAAACGGAACCAGATACATGGGTTTTACAAAACTGATTCCAATTCTGTCGAGATGCTTCAGATCAGATTTGGACTATATACAATCATAGCTACCAGAGGAATAGGATTTTACATAATCTGCCCTATTTCCCCTAATGGGTCAAGGGAGCCAAAATTGATTGCCCTTCACTCACTTACTGTGGCCCCCGGTGACTGAAATCCATCATTTATAAAAATTTGCTCTGCTTCCCACAAGGATGCTTTTGACCAAATTTAGTAACAATCTGCTCAGTCATTCATGAATATTAACATTTTGTAGAAAAAGTTGACAGACAGGCAATGGATGACAACAAATGCTCGCAGTATGGCATAGGCTCCTTCAGGCCAAGTGAGTTAATAAACAGACCTGTCTTGTTGGAAAACACCTCATTGTTAAACGTGAAAGTGGAAATACATTTAAGTGAAATTTAACTCAAAGTACTATATATATGTAATGAGGTTACTTAAGGGACCACTCTGTAATGGAGATATTATCCCAGAGAAAACATCTGTTAGAGACCATTTTACTGATGAACAAGTGCTTTAGTCATCAAGCAGTGAATTCCTTTTCATATTGACCTCAATACAGAATGATCCAAAGGCTAAACTTGATCATTTCTGATTTATAGATTTTTAAACTTGTTAACTGGAGGATGTCTAAACTCTGCACTGTGTATGCATTAGACCACTGTCTCTTGTTATAACAACATATGACTGGTCATACAGTGATGGAGGGCATGCACTGCTTTAGTGTTAACATCTGACTGGTCATACAGTGATGGAGGGCATGCACTGCTTTAGTGTTAACATATGACTGGTCATACAGTGATGGAGGGCATGCACTGCTTTAGTGTTAACATATGACTGGTCATACAGTGATGGAGGGCATGCACTGCTTTAGTGTTAACATATGACTGGTCATACAGTGATAGAGGGCATGCACTGCTTTAGTGTTAACATATGACTGGTCATACAGTGATGGAGGGCATGCACTGCTTTAGTGTTAACATATGACTGGTCATACAGTGATGGAGGGCATGCACTGCTTTAGTGTTAACATATGACTGGTCATACAGTGATGGAGGGCATGCACTGCTTTAGTGTTAACATATGACTGGTCATACAGTGATGGAGGGCATGCACTGCTTTAGTGTTAACATATGACTGGTCATACAGTGATGGAGGGCATGCACTGCTTTAGTGTTAACATATGACTGGTCATACAGTGATGGAGGGCATGCACTGCTTTAGTGTTAACATATGACTGGTCATACAGTGATGGAGGGCATGCACTGCTTTAGTGTTAACATATGACTGGTCATACAGTGATGGAGGGCATGCACTGCTTTAGTGTTAACATATGACTGGTCATACAGTGATGGAGGGCATGCACTGCTTTAGTGTTAACATATGACTGGTCATACAGTGATGGAGGGCATGCACTGCTTTAGTGTTAACATATGACTGGTCATACAGTGATGGAGGGCATGCACTGCTTTAGTGTTAACATGGTCATACAGTGATGGAGGGCATGCACTGCTTTAGTGTTAACATATGACTGGTCATACAGTGATGGAGGGCATGCACTGCTTTAGTGTTAACATATGACTGGTCATACAGTGATGGAGGGCATGCACTGCTTTAGTGTTAACATATGACTGGTCATACAGTGATGGAGGGCATGCACTGCTTTAGTGTTAACATGGTCATACAGTGATGGAGGGCATGCACTGCTTTAGTGTTAACATATGACTGGTCATACAGTGATAGAGAGAATGCACTGCTTTAGTGTTAACATATGACTGGTCATACAGTGATGGAGGGCATGCACTGCTTTAGTGTTAACATGGTCATACAGTGATGGAGGGCATGCACTGCTTTAGTGTTAACATGGTCATACAGTGATGGAGGGCATGCACTGCTTTAGTGTTAACATGGTCATACAGTGATGGAGGGCATGCACTGCTTTAGAGTTAAAATGGTCATACAGTGATGGAGAGAATGCAGTGCTTTAGAGTTAAAATGGTCATACAGTGATGGAGAGAATGCAGTGCTTTAGTGTTAACATAAACATGATAACTATTACCTAACAGTGCATAATACTGTACTATTACATCAGTAAACTATGAGTATATTTATATATATATATGATTTACAGTTGTATTATATGGAGTACACAAGTCAATAACCTGCTTTGCATAATTTTTTTGTCTTAAGAATATACTCATTCCTCTGTGTCACTTAGATTTCCTTGTCAATAAGAACATGTATATTTACACTGATGAGATACACAGCTCCAAGCTTCAAGCTCTAGAAACTTAATATGGCTCATTTTATTTGTTTCCATGGCAACATTATAGGCTCATGGGACAGGAAGCTTCCACTTAATTTATCACCTGGACGATAGGTAGGACAAATTTTAGTTGGCAAAATCTGTTCTATTAGAAACTGTGTCTAATTCCAAGTTATCCCCAAGGCAAATCTGCTCGTGAAACTCAACATAAGCAAGTTCATGTCAACAGACTTCCGCAGAGTGTCCTCTGGGATAAGAATCGATGAGGTTTTACCTTGAGGTGACATACATAGAAGTACAGAAAGCTGTGAATTAAGTAGCTACAATTTTTATTGCCCTGACAACGTTATGAAATTTAAAAAGCAAACAGGATTTTACAAAGATTCACAATATAACAGCAGTCAGTGTTTTGCCAATGTATTTATACTGAGGTCTATTTATTAAATCTGAACTAACAAAATAGTAACACAGACAATCTTCCCTTAACACAGACAATCTTCTCTTAACACAGACAATCTTCCCTTAACACCGACAATCTTCTCTTAACACAGACAATCTTCTCTTAACACCGACAATCTTCTCTTAACACAGACAATCTTCTCTTAACACCGACAATCTTCTCTTAACACAGACAATCTTCCCTTAACACAGACAATCTTCTCTTAACACAGACAATCTTCTCTTAACACAGACAATCTTCCCTTAACACCGACAATCTTCTCTTAACACAGACAATCTTCTCTTAACACCGACAATCTTCTCTTAACACAGACAATCTTCTCTTAACACCGACAATCTTCTCTTAACACAGACAATCTTCCCTTAACACAGACAATCTTCTCTTAACACAGACAATCTTCTCTTAAAATAGACAATCTTCCCTTAACACAGACAATCTTCCCTTAACACAGACAATCTTAACACAGACAATCTTCTCTTAACACAGACAATCTTCCCTTAACACAGACAATCTTCCCTTAAAACAGACAATCTTCTCTTAATGCAGACAATCTTCCCTTAACATAGACAATCTTCCCTTAACACAGACAATCTTAACACAGACAATCTTCCCTTAAAACAGACAATCTTCCCTTAACACCGACAATCTTCTCTTAACACAGACAATCTTCCCTTAACACAGACAATCTTCTCTTAACACAGACAATCTTCTCTTAAAATAGACAATCTTCCCTTAACACAGACAATCTTCCCTTAACACAGACAATCTTAACACAGACAATCTTCTCTTAACACAGACAATCTTCCCTTAACACAGACAATCTTCCCTTAAAACAGACAATCTTCTCTTAATGCAGACAATCTTCCCTTAACATAGACAATCTTCCCTTAACACAGACAATCTTAACACAGACAATCTTCTCTTAACACAGACAATCTTCCCTTAACACAGACAATCTTCTCTTAACACAGACAATCTTCCCTTAACACAGACAATCTTCCCTTAAAACAGACAATCTTCTCTTAACACAGACAATCTTCCCTTAACACAGACAATCTTCTCTTAACACAGACATAGACAATCTTAACATAGACAATCTTCCCTTAACACAGACAATCTTCCCTTAACACAGACAATCTTAACACAGACAATCTTCTCTTAACACAGACAATCTTCTCTTAACACAGACAATCTTCCCTTAACACAGACAATCTTCCCTTAAAACAGACAATCTTCTCTTAATGCAGACAATCTTCCCTTAACACAGACAATCTTCTCTTAACACAGACATAGACAATCTTAACATAGACAATCTTCCCTTAACACAGACAATCTTCCCTTAACACAGACAATCTTAACACAGACAATCTTCCCTTCAAAATAATGCTTGACTGCTGATTGCATAAATAAAGATTTAGCATATGAGAAACACTTTACCCGTAAAATCTTCAAGTTCTTCAAAAAGTCACAGAGAATAGGTCACATCGACCTAACACTATCAGAAAGTGACAAAGAACAGGTCACATATACAAGTCACTATTGAAAAGTGGCAGAGAGTATGTCACATTGACAAGTCACTTTTGGAAAGTGACAGAGAATAGGTCACACTGACAAGCAGAGAATAGGTCACACTGACAAGTCACTATTGGAAAGTGACAGAGAGTTTGTCACATTAACAAGTCACTATTGGAAAGTGACAGAGAGTTTGTCACATTGAGCACTATGTAAAGTGACAGAATTGGTCACATGGATGAGCCACTATTGGAAAGTGACAGAGAGTATGTCACATTGAACACTATGTAAAGTGACACAGAATAGGTCACACTGACCATTTTTGGAAAGTGACAGACCAGCCATTACTAGAAAGTGACAAAGAACAGGTCACACTGACAACTGTTGGAGGCTTACTTTCTTTGGTAGTTTGATGATCCAAGATGGTGGTACAATGAGAGCCTGATGGGGCCCCAGGGTACACTGCTCCTCTATCTGCTGCATCATAAAACAGGACACTTTGTTGTGGTACGCGGCCTTACACCAGGAACAGCTGATGGCAATGATCTCCTACAATGTCAAATCCAATGTTAAAATCCTTTTCTAATACTCCTGCTCTATCTTGTGTTTGTTTATCATTACTTCCTCTACATCCATTTTATCTAACAGACTGTGTCTACACCCACTAAAATCTAAACACTCACTGTATCTGGACTTTACAGACTGTGTATATACCCACTAAAATCTTCTAAACACTCACTGTATCTGGACTTTACAGACTGTGTATATACCCACTAAAATCTTCTAAACACTCACTGTATCTGGACTTTACAGACTGTATATACCCACTAAAATCTTCTAAACACTCACTGTATCTGGACTTTACAGACTGTGTATATACCCACTGAAATCTAAACACTCACTGTATCTGGACTTTACAGACTGTGTATATACCCACTAAAATCTTCTAAACACTCACTGTATCTGGACTTTACAGACTGTGTATATACCCACTGAAATCTAAACACTCACTGTATCTGGACTTTACAGACTGTGTATATACCCACTGAAATCTAAACACTCACTGTATCTGGACTTTACAGACTGTGTATATACCCACTAAAATCTAAACACTCACTGTATCTGGACTTTACAGACTGTGTATATACCCACTAAAATCTTCTAAACACTCACTGTATCTGGACTTTACAGACTGTGTATATACCCACTGAAATCTAAACACTCACTGTATCTGGACTTTACAGACTGTGTTTATACCCACTGAAATCTAAACACTCACTGTATCTGGACTTTACAGACTGTGTATATACCCACTGAAATCTAAACACTCACTGTATCTGGACTTTACAGACTGTGTATATACCCACTGAAATCTAAACACTCACTGTATCTGGACTTTACAGACTGTGTATATACCCACTGAAATCTAAACACTCACTGTATCTGGACTTTACAGACTGTGTATATACCCACTGAAATCTAAACACTCACTGTATCTGGACTTTACAGACTGTGTATATACCCACTGAAATCTAAACACTCACTGTATCTGGACTTTACAGACTGTGTATATACCCACTGAAATCTAAACACTCACTGTATCTGGACTTTACAGACTGTGTTTATACCCACTGAAATCTAAACACTCACTGTATCTGGACTTTACAGACTGTGTATATACCCACTAAAATCTTCTAAACACTCACTGTATCGGGAACCATTAAGTCTTGATTGACTCTGGTTGTCTGGGTGTTAAGTCTTGATTGACTCTGGTTGTCAGGGTATTAAGTCTTGATTGACTCTGGTTGTCTGGGTGTTAAGTCTTGATTAACTCATGTTGTCTTGGTGTTAAGTCTTGATTAACTCTGGTTGTCTTGGTGTTAAGTCTTGATTAACTCCGGTTGTCTTTGTGTTAAGTCTTGATTGACTCCGGTTGTCAGGGTATTAAGTCTTGATTTCACCTGGTTGTCAGGGTATTAAGTCTTGACTGACTCTGGTTGTCAGGGTATTAAGTCTTGACTGACTCTGGTTGTCAGGGTATTAAGTCTTGATTGACTCTGGTTGTCAGGGTATTAAGTCTTGACTGACTCTGGTTGTCAGGGTATTAAGTCTTGATTGACTCTGGTTGTCAGGGTGTTAAGTCTTGATTGACTCAGGTTGTCTGGGTGTTAAGTCTTGATTGACTCTGGTTGTCAGGGGATTAAATCTTGACTGACTCTGGTTGTCAGGGTATTAAGTCTTGACTGACTCTGGTTGTCAGGGTATTAAGTCTTGACTGACTCTGGTTGTCAGGGTGTTAAGTCTTGATTGATTCTGGTTGTCTGGGTATTAAGTCTTGACTGACTCTGGTTGTCAGGGTATTAAGTCTTGACTGACTCTGGTTGTCAGGGTATTAAGTCTTGACTGACTCTGGTTGTCTGGGTATTAAGTCTTGATTGACTCTGGTTGTCAGGGTATTAAGTCTTGACTGACTCTGGTTGTCAGGGTGTTAAGTCTTGTTTGATTCTGGTTGTCTGGGTGTTAAGTCTTGATTGACTCTGGTTGTCAGGGTGTTAAGTCTTGATTGACTCGGGTTGTCTGGGTGTTAAGTCTTGATTGACTCTGGTTGTCTGGGTGTTAAGTCTTGATTGACTCGGGTTGTCAGGGGATTAAATCTTGACTGACTCTGGTTGTCAGGGTATTAAGTCTTGACTGACTCTGGTTGTCAGGGTATTAAGTCTTGACTGACTCTGGTTGTCAGGGTATAAAGTCTTGACTGACTCTGGTTGTCAGGGTATTAAGTCTTGACTGACTCTGGTTGTCAGGGTATTAAGTCTTGACTGACTCTGGTTGTCTGGGTATTAAGTCTTGATTGACTCTGGTTGTCAGGGTATTAAGTCTTGACTGACTCTGGTTGTCAGGGTATTAAGTCTTGACTGACTCTGGTTGTCAGGGTATTAAGTCTTGACTGACTCTGGTTGTCTGGGTATTAAGTCTTGATTGACTCTGGTTGTCAGGGTATTAAGTCTTGACTGACTCTGGTTGTCAGGGTGTTAAATTGATTCTGGTTGTCAGGGAGTCTTGACTCTGGTTGTCAGGGTATTAAGTCTTGACTGACTCTGGTTGTCGGGGTGTTAAGTCTTGATTGACTCTGGTTGTCAGGGTATTATTGATTCTGGTTGTCTTGACTTGATTGACTCTGGTTGTCAGGGGTATTGACTCTGGTTGTCAGGGGATTAAATCTTGACTGACTCTGGTTGTCAGGGTATTAAGTCTTGACTGACTCTGGTTGTCAGGGTATTAAGTCTTGACTGACTCTGGTTGTCAGGGTATTAAGTCTTGATTGACTCTGGTTGTCAGGGTATTAAGTCTTGACTGACTCTGGTTGTCAGGGTATTAAGTCTTGACTGACTCTGGTTGTCTGGCTGTTAAGTCTTGATTGATTCTGGTTGTCAGGGTGTTAAATCTTGATTGATTCTGGTTTATAATTTTCCTTTAAACTATCAATACCTAATCTAAATCATTCATATTGCACAATTCTCAAGTTGGTTGTTCATACTTACTTTGCTTTGGAAAGCAAATCGCTGTTGGAATGACTGTAAAGTAAATAATATCAAATTAGAAAAATCCTCAAACTTACATATATCTACATTTACTGAAAATTTGATGATATAGAGTACATTATCCATGTGTTATTTACAGCATATATAGTAAAATCAAAACAAACATTTCCTAAGTGGTCAAGGACGACTCTTGACCTTTACCCTTGACCAATGACTACCAAAATTTTATCAATTGTAGTTCTGGATGTTGTGATGCAATGGTGCGAATCTGAATTAAATCTGTATATTTGCTCATGAAATTACCGTGTACACAAAACTCTTTATTTCCTAGGCGGTCAAGAGTGACCTTTGACTATTCACCTTGACCAATGACCACCAAAATCTAATTTAAGCAGACCTTGGAAATATGATGCTCTGGTATGAATATGAACCACATCTGTTCTGACATTCATGAAATATCTTGTATACAAGATTACCAAACATGTACACATGATCACATGCAGAGTTCATTATTATATACTTTTTTATTTAAGTGTGTATGTTAGATTTGGAAAGGTTTCAGCTTGTCAGTGGTGATAAACACAATGCTGATTATAATCCTCCCGATCGAGGTAGGTATGGTATACAAAACCTACTGGTGACACACAGGCACCCGAGGCACAATGTGTTCAACATGTTCACTACATGGTTGTGTTGGAAAGAACACACCTCTTGATTGTTCAGGTAAGTATACAGAAGAATATTTCCACATATTTCAATCAGACTGAGATGTAGAGGTACCAGGAAGTTTGTCAAGAGATGATCAGTTTCTAGAAGGACTGGTTGTGGGAATTCATTTGGTTTCAATAGACGATCCATTTTCAGAAGGATTGGTTTTGAGAATTATTTTATCTATTAAGTATGATGATCAACTGACCATAAAATATGTGTCCTACTTACCTTTCCACATTGTTTACATTTGCCCTCTTGGCGACGTCTGTGAACCCAATGGTGACGCATGGAAGTTTGCTGAAAAAGTATCATGACTATGCATGTTACTGGACAATATTTACAGGTTTGAATCTCAGTATGCTACAGTATTGTTACTGTAAACAACTTGGAGAGTTTGACATATCTCAAATAAGACATTATCATATTCATAACCAGTCTGGTATATATAGAGACACATGTAACTGTGTCACTGTCTGTAGTTGTCAGTCATGTCAGGTCACACAGTGTTGAGTTGTAGGTCATGTCAGGTCACACAGTGTTGAGTTGTAGGTCATGTCATGTCACACAGTATTGAGTTGTAGGTCATGTCATGTCAGGTCACACAGTGTTGAGTTGTAGGTCATGTCAGGTCACACAGTGTTGAGTTGTAGGTCATGTCATGTCAGGTCACACAGTGTTGAGTTGTAGGTCATGTCATGTCAGGTCACACAGTGTTGAGTTGTAGGTCATGTCATGTAAGGTCACACAGTATTGAGTTGCAGGTCATGTCAGGTCACACAGTGTTGAGTTGTAGGTCATGTCAGGTCACACAGTGTTGAGTTGTAGGTCATGTCATGTCAGGTCACACAGTGTTGAGTTGTAGGTCACGTCATGTCAGGTCACACAGTGTTGAGTTGTAGGTCATGTCATGTCATGTCAGGTCACAGAGTATTGAGTTGTAGGTCATGTCAGGTCACACAGTATTGAGTTGTAGGTCATGTCAGGTCACACAGTATTGAGTTGTAGGTCATGTCTGGCCACACACAGTATAGTTGTAAGCCAAGACATGTCACACAGTCTTGAGTTGCGAGTGATTAAGGCCTGCAGTAGATCTCCCTCCTGATATCAATACCATCAGATGAACCTATCATACAGTCTTGTCGCCAATCTCTGACGACACCCTAGGCCTTGGTCCCTGGAGGTTATCTGTCATAATGTTGAGACTTAATCACACCCTTTGGAGGTACCTACACAAGTGTAAGGTTGTAAAACGACACCACTGGGGATTACTAATCACATTCTCTCTACAATAACATTTCTATCTGTACAACAGCAATCACACTACTAAATTGTTCACAGAAAAATGTCCTCCACTGAAGTATCAACATAAAGGTGAACAACTTACTTCTCTGTAATTCCTCAATCCTGCTTCACGGAATGTTGGTTTGCATCGAAGATTTTTCTGTGAAGTAAAAGAAGCAATGACTTAATATTGAAATGATAAATTAAATTTTGAAGTGATCCTGAAGCACTGAATGTATTCTGAAGTTTAAAAAAGAATTCTATGTAAACATATCTCTTGCCTCTCTGTCTTCTCAGTCTGGTTTGTCTAAGCTTAATTGCAAAATACAATATAATCTGTCATTTCCACTCAAAATATTCCAAGTTGATTTTAATCATTAGTAAAAGTGTCACTCTTCCTGAGCATGGACACGGAAACTCTACTGACATTTTACAAAACTTAACATGACTAAAAATGAATCTAGTGACCAGAAAAAAACAGGACTTTGTGGTCATTTCTCATAACTGAAGTATCTGTCCTGAAAATACACCAAGAAATAGCATTTAATGTATTTCATAATTCACATTCCCCCACTTAAATATCGCAAGTTTGACTTAAATGTTTAATGAGAAACTGAGCTAGATGCAAAACTTTCAAGTTCACTTTCTCAGCATCCCTAATTTTCAGAGTTGCTGGACTGAAAAATCTGGATACTTTGTAAATGATAGATGATGTTCATTATGTGATTTAACTACATTCCTAGCTTGATTACAAACTTTATAACATATATAAGTAATATGTTGATGATACTGTCGTCGCTGGAGAAGTGACATCATAGCTTGATTAGAAACTTTATAACATATATAAGTAATATGTTGATGATACTGTCGTCGCTGGAGAAGTGACATCATAGCCCTTTCTAATCAACTTTTTGTTTCAGATGACTTTATAACCATGTATAGAATGGTGTAGCCATTGTCTTACCTTTTCTAGAATGCCTATGCAAGCAGTGTGTGCTACAATTTTGCAAGCAACACACTTTCTTCTTGGTCCAGTTCTCTGTAACAAAATCATAGAATTATTATAACTTCAAACACAAACAAGTCAGCTATGTTTAACAATATCAATATCACAACAAAAGGACTGACCAAAAAGCAGTTAACACTAACCCTATAATTATACAATGTTTACCCCTATTGTTACCCCTAAAATTATACAATGTTTTCCCTACTGTTACCCCTACAATTATACAATGTTTACCCTATTGTTACCCCTACAATTATACAATGTTTACCCCTATTGTTACCCCTACAATTATACAATGTTTTCCCTATTGTTACCCCTACAATTATACAATGTTTACCCTATTGTTACCCCTACAATTATACAATGTTTTCCCTATTGTTACACCTACAATTATACAATGTTTTCCCTATTGTTACACCTACAATTATACAATGTTTTCCCTATTGTTACCCCTACAATTATACAATGTTTTCCCTATTGTTACCCCTACAATTATACAATGTTTTCCCTATTGTTACCCCTACAATTATACAATGTTTTCCCTATTGTTACCCCTACAATTATACAATGTTTACCCCTATTGTTACCCTTAAAACTATTCTATATTTTCATTTATCCCTCTTTTTTCAGCCAATCATTCATGTTTCCCCTGAAATAAACCCTCATAATTCTCTGGAGTTTCTTCTCTCAAATATAAAACCTTGCCATAGAATAATTACATTATTGAATCAACTCATGTCTTTTCAATTGAATTAATTTCTAAAACAGAAGTGCTTCTTTGTTGTTTACAACAGCTCATCTCCATTATCACAGAGAAGCATGGACATAGAAATGGTGGTACTCACCATACAGTCGGGCTCCATGGCATAGCAGTAATCACCGGAGGCATTGGTCTCCACCCACAGATGGTCACTGTTGATGGCCTGGTCCTACAATATTATACTTTTCTGTCATTATACTGCCACAACAAGACAGGAAGAGCAGCATCTTAATGGAATAACCACTCCTCTCTTATCAATCATCAAATTCACTAACTGCTTTAATGAAAGGTGGAAATATTCTGTCCTAGCATTCTGTAATGGAGTTGGAGGGCAACATACAATTCTTTTAACCAACAAACCATCAATGACCCTCTGTCCTAGCATTCTGTTACTGAGTTGGAGGGCAACATACAATTCTTTTAACCAACAAACCATCAATGACCCTCTGTCCTAGCATTCTGTTACTGAGAGGGAAACATACAATTCTTTTAACCCACAAACCATCAATGACCCTCTGTCCTAGCATTCTGTAACGGAGTTGGAGGGCAACATACAATTCGTTTAACCAACAAACCATCAACGACCCTCTGTCCTAGCATGTCTGTTACTGAGTTGGAGGGTAACATATAATTCTTTAAACCCACAAACCATCAATGACTCTCTGTCCTAGCATTCTGTTACTGAGTTGGAGGGCAACATACAATTCTTTTAACCAACAAACCATCAATGACTCTCTGTCCTAACATGTCTGTAACTGAGTTGGAGGGTAACATATAATTCTTTAAACCCACAAACCTCAATGACCCTCTGTCCTAGCATGTCTGTTACTGAGTTGGAGGGCAACATACAATTCTTTTAACCAACAAACCATCAATGACTCTCTGTCCTAGCATTCTGTTACTGAGTTGGAGGGTAACATACAATTCTTTTAACCCACAAACCATCAATGACTCTCTGTCCTAACATGTCTGTAACTGAGTTAGAGTTAACATAATTCAGTAAACCCACAAACCTCAATGGCCCTCTGTCCTAGCATTCTGTAACTGAGTTAGAGTTAACATAATTCAGTAAACCCACAAACCTCAATGGCCCTCTGTCCTAGCATGTCTGTTACTGAGTTAGAGGGTAACATAATTCAGTAAACCCACAAACCATCAATGACCCTCTGTCCTAGCATGTCTGTAACTGAGTTAGAGGGTAACATATAATTCTTTAAACCTACAAACCATCAATGACCCTCTGTCCTAGCATTCTGTTACTGAGTTGGAGGGTAACATACAATTCTTTAAACCCACAAACCATCAATGACCCTCTGTCCTAGCATGTCTGTTACTGAGTTGGAGGGTAACATATAATTCAGTAAACCCACAAACCATCAATGACCCTCTGTCCTAGCATGTCTGTAACTGAGTTAGAGGGTAACATACAATTCTTTAAACCCACAAACCATCAATGACCCTCTGTCCTAGCATGTCTGTTACTGAGTTGGAGGGTAACATACAATTCTTTAAACCCACAAACCATCAATGACCCTCTGTCCTAGCATGTCTGTAACTGAGTTAGAGGGTAACATACAATTCTTTAAACCCCCTTTAAATCCTTAAATTTGGAGGTTTTCCTCATACTAAGTTAAACTTTCCTTTTATTTGTAACCTTGTCAATTTTCTGTATACTTTATTGGTTTTATAAAACTTAGAATTGCACTATTGATGCTGGTAAGGTAAAATACACTGTGAATTTAATCATCATATAGACGAGTTTATCAATCAACTCTTTATGTGGCAGGATATGGGAGATTTGCATAAAGCGTGGCAGTCGTCAAGCCTGTAATTACATCGGATTGCAGAACACATTTTCACGTTAAGGCCATAGTGCCAACAAAGGGACAAACCAGATAAAAGCTGAGGACATTATACAGTATTACTTATACAACGGTGATGATGGATACAACGCTGAGAAATTCCCATCTAAACTCCGACAAGCAGGTTTGTGACTGAGGAAAGCTATATACATCACAGATAAAAAATCTTCTATCAGGGCAATGAATAGAGAACATCAGGCCAGACAACTCTCACAAAGACATGACTGGTCATCTCTCACACAGACATGACTGATGACTGGTCATCTCTCACACAGACATGACTGGTCATCTCTCACACAGACATGACTGGTCATCTCTCACACAGACATGACTGATGACTGGTCATCTCTCACACAGACATGACTGGTCATCTCTCACACAGACATGACTGGTCATCTCTCACACAGACATGACTGGTCATCTCTCACATAGAGCTGACTGGTCATCTCTCACATAGAGCTGACTGGTCATCTCTCACACAGACATGACTGGTCATCTCTCACACAGACATGACTGGTCATCTCTCACACAGACATGACTGGTCATCTCTCACACAGACATGACTGATGACTGGTCATCTCTCACACAGACATGACTGGTCATCTCTCACACAGACATGACTGGTCATCTCTCATATAGAGCTGACTGGTCATCTCTCACACAGACATGACTGGTCATCTCTCACACAGACATGACTGATGACTGGTCATCTCTCACACAGACATGACTGGTCATCTCTCACACAGACCTGACTGGTCATCTCTCACACAGACATGATTGGTCATCTCTCACATAGACAAAACTAAGGGTGAGCACTTTTGTATAAGGTAAAAGACTACAGATTACTCTACTATAACCAAGGGTGGTACTTTTGTATAAGGTAAAAGACTACAGATTACCTTACTGTAACCAAGGGTGGTACTTTTGTATAAGGTAACAGACTACAGATTACTCTACTGTAAACAAGGGTGGTACTTTTGTATAAGGTAAAAGACTACAGATTACTCTACTGTAACCAAGGGTGGTACTTTTGTATAAGGTAAAAGACTACCAAGTATCCTATTATAACCAAGGGTGGTACTTTTGTATAAGGTAAAAGACTACAGATTACTCTACTGTAACCAAGGGTGGTACTTTTGTATAAGGTAAAAGACTACAGATTACTCTACTGTAACCAAGGGTGGTACTTTTGTATAAGGTAAAAGACTACAGATTACCCTTTTGTAACCAAGGGTGGTACTTTTGTATAAGGTAACAGACTACAGATTACTCTACTGTAACCAAGGGTGGTACTTTTGTATAAGGTAAAAGACTACAGATTACCCTTTTGTAACCAAGGGTGGTACTTTTGTTTAAGATAACAGACTACAGGTTACCCTTTTGTAACCAAGGGTGGTACTTTTGTATAAGGTAAAAGACTACAGATTACCCTTTTGTAACCAAGGGTGGTACTTTTGTTTAAGATAACAGACTACAGGTTACCCTTTTGTAACCAAGGGTGGTACTTTTGTATAAGGTAAAAGACTACAGGTTACCCTTTTGTAACCAAGGGTGGTACTTTTGTATAAGGTAAAAGACTACAGATTACCCTTTTGTAACCAAGGGTGGTACTTTTGTTTAAGATAACAGACTACAGGTTACCCTTTTGTAACCAAGGGTGGTACTTTTGTATAAGGTAAAAGACTACAGATTACCCTTTTGTAACCAAGGGTGGTACTTTTGTATAAGATAACAGACTACAGGTTACCCTTTTGTAACCAAGGGTGGTACTTTTGTATAAGGTAACAGACTACAGATTACTCTACTGTAACCAAGGGTGGTACTTTTGTATAAGGTAACAGACTACAGATTACCCTTTTGTAAACAAGGGTGGTACTTTTGTATAAGGTAAAAGACTACAGATTACCCTACTGTAACCAAGGGTGGTACTTTTGTAAAAGGTAACAGACTACCAAGTATCCTATTATAACCAAGGGTGGTACTTTTGTATAAGGTTACAGACTACAGATTACTCTACTGTAACCAAGGGTGGTACTTTTGTATAAGGTAACAGACTACAGATTACCTTACTGTAACCAAGGGTGGTACTTTTGTATAAGGTAACAGACTACAGATTACTCTACTGTAACCAAGGGTGGTACTTTTGTATAAGGTAACAGACTACAGATTACCCTTTTGTAACCAAGGGTGGTACTTTTGTTTAAGATAACAGACTACAGATTACTCTACTGTAACCAAGGGTGGTACTTTTGTATAAGGTAACAGACTACAGATTACTCTACTGTAACCAAGGGTGGTACTTTTGTATAAGGTAAAAGACTACAGATTACCTTTTTGTAACCAAGGGTGGTACTTTTGTTTAAGATAACAGACTACAGGTTACCCTTTTGTAACCAAGGGTGGTACTTTTGTATAAGGTAAAAGACTACAGATTACCCTTTTGTAAACAAGGGTGGTACTTTTGTATAAGGTAAAAGACTACAGATTACCCTACTGTAACCAAGGGTGGTACTTTTGTATAAGGTAACAGACTACCAAGTATCCTATTATAACCAAGGGTGGTACTTTTGTATAAGGTTACAGACTACAGATTACTCTACTGTAACCAAGGGTGGTACTTTTGTATAAGGTAACAGACTACAGATTACCTTACTGTAACCAAGGGTGGTACTTTTGTATAAGGTAAAAGACTACTGAGTACCCTATTATAACCAAGGGTGGTACTTTTGTATAAGGTTACAGACTACAGATTACTCTACTGTAACCAAGGGTGGTACTTTTGTATAAGGTAACAGACTACAGATTACCTTACTGTAACCAAGGGTGGTACTTTTGTATAAGGTAAAAGACTACCAAGTACCCTATTATAACCAAGGGTGGTACTTTTGTATAAGGTAACAGACTACAGATTACTCTACTGTAACCAAGGGTGGTACTTTTGTATAAGGTAACAGACTACAGATTACCTTACTGTAACCAAGGGTGGTACTTTTGTATAAGGTAAAAGACTACCAAGTACCCTATTATAACCAAGGGTGGTACTTTTGTATAAGGTAACAGACTACCGAGTACCCTATTGTAACCAAGGGTGGTACTTTTGTATAAGGTAACAGACTACAGATTACTCTACTGTAACCAAGGGTGGTACTTTTGTATAAGGTAACAGACTACCGAGTACCCTATTGTAACCAAGGGTGGTACTTTTGTATAAGGTAACAGACTACAGATTACTCTACTGTAACCAAGGGTGGTACTTTTGTATAAGGTAACAGACTACCAAGTACCCTACTGTAATTAAGGATGGTACTTTCGTATAAGGTAAAAGACTACCGAGTACCCTACTGTAACCAAGGGTGGTACTTATGTATAAGGTAAAAGACTACCGAGTACCCTACTGTAATTAAGGATGGTACTTTTGTATAAGGTAAAAGACTATCAAGTACCCTACTGTAATTAAGGGTGGTACTTTCGTATAAGGTAGCAAACTAATAATCCCTGCTGGTGCCACTAGGGTGATACTATTTACAATGCTTTCTGATTTATCAGTGATGTAGTTGAATATACAGACTAAAATATTTGGAAACAAAATTTGGTATACTTCTAATGTGATTCATGCAGCGGTTCATATTCAAATCTCAATAGTTTGGTTTGTTGTAACATATTCTTCTTTCATCTAGCTGGCTAAGGTTCAACAACATGTACAACTGGACATGAAAAGATTAGGGATGGGGTCACTTCAACGACCACAAGGGTTTTCATTGTGTACACTTTTTTCTCCCAACACTGAAAGGAACCTTTGCACAATTCCATGATAGGGTGATCAATATGTTTCAGAATTAATGTAAGATAAACAAGTCTGTTGTTTACTGCTTTTATTCTTCTGCATCATCCTGTCAGTCATACAGCAGTCATACAGAGGGTCATACAGCAGTCATACAGCAGTCATACAACAGTCATACAGAGGGTCATACAACAGTCATACAGCAGGTCATACGGCAGTCATACAGCAGTCATACAGAGGGTCATACAGCAGTCATACAACAATCATATAGCAGTCATACAGAGGGTCATACAGCAGTCATACAGCAGTCATACAACAGTCATACAGAGGGTCATACAGCAGTCATACGGCAGGTCATACAGCAGTCATACAGCAGTCATACAGCAATTATACAGCAGTCATACAGCAGGTCATACTGCAGTCATACAGCAGGTCATACCGCAGTCATACAGCAGTCATACAGCAATCATACAGCAGTCATACAGCAGGTCATACAGCAGTCATACAGCAGTCATACAGCAGTCATACAGCAGTCATACAGCAATCATACAGCAGTCATACAGCAGGTCATACAGCAGTCATACAGCAGTCATACAGCAGTCATACAGCAATCATACAGCAGTCATACAGCAGGTCATACTGCAGTCATACAGCAGGTCATACAGCAGTCATACAGAGGGTCATACAGCAATCATACAGCAGTCATACAGCAATCATACAGCAGTCATACAGCAGTCATACAGCAGTCATACAGCAGGTCATACAGCAGTCATACAGCAGTCATACAGCAGGTCATACAGCAGTCATACAGCAGGTCATACAGCAGGTCATACAGCAGTCATACAGCAGGTCATACAGCAGTCATACAACAATCATATAGCAGTCATACAGTCATACAGTCATATACAGCAGTCATACAGCAGTCATACAGCAGTCATACATATAACAATCATACAGCAGTCATACAGCAGTCATACAGCAGGTCATACAGCAGTCATACAGCAGTCATACAGCAGTCATACAGCAATCATACAGCAGTCATACAGCAGGTCATACAGCAGTCATACAGCAGTCATACAGCAATCATACAGCAGTCATACAGCAGGTCATACAGCAGTCATACAGCAGGTCATACAGCAGTCATACAACAATCATATAACAGTCATACAGCAGTCATACAACAGTCATACAGCAGTCATACAACAGTCATACAGCAGGTCATACAGCAGTCATACAGCAGTCATACAGCAGTCATACAGCAATCATACAGCAGTCATACAGCAGTCATACAGCAGGTCATACAGCAGTCATACAGCAGTCATACAGCAGGTCATACAGCAGTCATACAGCAGTCATACAGCAGTCATACAGCAGGTCATACAGCAGTCATACAGCATGTCATACAGCAGGTCATACAGCAGTCATACAGCAGGTCATACAGCAGTCATACAGCAGTCATACAGCAGTCATACAACAGTCATACAGCAGTCATACAGCAGTCATACAACAGTCATACAGCAGGTCATACAGCAGTCATACAGCAGGTCATACAGCAGTCATACATCAGTCATACAGCAGTCATACAACAGTCATACATCAGTCATACAACAGCTCATACAACAGTCATACAACAGTCATACAACATACAACAGGTCATACAACAGGTCATACAGCAGTCATACAACAGGTCATATAACAGTCATACAACAGTCATACAACAGTCATACAACATACATAACCTAATAAGCAGCAGATATTCCATGTATATTTCAATGGTGACGATCAACTAAGATAATTAAAACACTAATACCCACCGTCCAGTCGACTGTGTCTCGTAGTTCGCGGCGACGGTACCCATGCTCAGCATGAGTTGGATGTAAATAATTAGTTGCATGGTTCAATGCATTTTTGGAAATGGCTTTCCTGTAAGATAAAAAGATAAAACAAAAATTAACTTCACAAATAAAACACACCTTTGGGGTTTTCTTTACTATGTTATTATCAACTTCCTCACCCATGGGAGGTCAACCTTCATTAATAACCAAAACTATAGCCATCAGAAAAACTATCCTCCTTTCAACAAAAAATCAATATAACAGTTCTCTGATAGTAACCTAAGATATGAAATATTAACATACACAGCTTCATTACTTCTTCTGTATAACTGGAGCTGTCATATTCAGCCTCGCTTATTCATGTTTTAGGTCCCAATGGTATATGGTGTTTAACAACTTTACAGCTTAGGTTAGACAACTTTATTGTTCAGTACAATAAAGGGTCACAGTCTAAGATAATATCCATCTCAATAGTATATATATACAGATATCTATTTATATATCTCAATAGTATATATACAGATATCTATTTATATATCTCAATAGTATATATACAGATATATATCTATCTCAATAGTATATATACAGATATATATCTATCTCAATAGTATATATACAGATATATATCTATCTCAATAGTATATATACAGATATATATCTATCTCAATAGTATATATACAGGATATCTATTTATATATCTCAATAGTATATATACAGATATCTATTTATATATCTCAATAGTATATATACAGATATCTATTTATATATCTCAATAGTATATATACAGATATCTATAAGTTTTCCATTCAATATCAAAATATTATGAAGTTATATCATCACTACCATTTCTTACATTAGTTTTTTTTCAAAGCGGATCTTTCCTGATATTTCATATGCAAAAATGTGATAAAATGGTTTCAGTGAGACATTAGCTAATGTTCTGAGATGTAGACAATAGTTAAGAGATTAACTGCTCTTGGACCAGTATGTTTTTATATCTGGCCAGTGTAGAAAACCCATCAAAGAACACTTCTGGAGAGTATTGGAAAATGTGTCTGGCCTGGTGGCACAGAGGTCATTTTGTAAAGTGTAATAATACCGCCTGGACCTCCACCTCATTAGGTATCATAGCACTACGCTATCTACTTTATAGCCAATTATACATAATATCTATAATACGTTACTGGATATAGAAGATGATGACAGAGAGGCACCACACCTCTGGCCAGCTCATACTCCACCCTAAATAACACCACAACTACCAATCACTTTTATATTGATTTCTCTCATATCACAAACTTGTGTCCCTCATATCAATGACTAATTTTAAGTAGAACAGGATCAAACCATCAACAGAGTATACAACATATACATATTTACACTGTGTATAGAACATTTATACTTCTCTAACATATACACAATATTCACACTTCTCCACTGGGTAGATACAACAATTATACTTCTCCACTGGGTAGATACAACAATTATACTTCTCCACTGGGTAGATACAACAATTATACTTCTCCACTGGGTAGATACAACAATTATACTTCTCCACTGGGTAGATACAACAATTATACTTCTCCACTGGGTAGATACAACAATTATACTTCTCCACTGGGTAGATACAACAATTATACTTCTCCACTGGGTAGATACAACAATTATACTTCTCCACTGGGTAGATACAACAATTATACTTCTCCACTGGGTAGATACAACAATTATACTTCTCCACTGGGTAGATACAACAATTATACTTCTCCACTGGGTAGATACAACAATTATACTTCTCCACTGGGTAGATACAACATCTACACTTCTCTGCTATGAATAAAACAGTTTTAATTGTAAATAGGATCATGGTCGACTTCTAGCTTTGTGCTTGCAGCAATTTCCCTATAGCTCAGTGGTAGAGCATCCGACTAGAGACCTGCATGTCACAGGTTCAATTTCAGGTGGAAGCACAGTATTCTCTTTCCTGTTACAGATGTTGACCATGATCTTCCTGTGGTGACAGGGATTTAGGACCTAGGTTGATGTGGTGTTGGGGGGATGGTAGATAGGATTGTGGTCGACCCCTAGCTTCGCCCTCGGGGATTTTACCTTTAGCTCTATGATAAAGTGTCCGACTATATAAATAGGACATTTAAACTCTCCAGTCAGATACCCTCTATATAATACCCATATAAACAGGACACTCTCCAGTCAGATACCCTCTATACGATACCCATATAAACAGGACACTCTCCAGTCAGATACCCTCTATATGATACCCATATAAACAGGACACTCTCCAGTCAGATACCCTCTATATGATACCCATATAAACAAGACACTCTCCAGTCAGATACCCCTATATGATACCCATATAAACAGGACACTCTCCAGTCAGATACCCTCTATTTGATACCCATATAAACAGGACACTTTCCAGTCAGATACCCTCTATATGATACCCATATAAACAGGACACTCTCCAGTCAGCTACCCTCTATATGATACCCATATAAACAGGACATTCTCCAGTCAGATAGCCTCTATACGATACCCATATAAACAGGACATTCTCCAGTCAGATAGCCTCTATACGATACCCATATAAACAGGACACTCTCCAGTCAGATACCCCTATATGATACCCATATAAACAGGACACTCTCCAGTCAGATACCCTCTATATGATACCCATATAAACAGGACACTCTCCAGTCAGCTACCCTCTATATGATACCCATATAAACAGGACACTCTCCAGTCAGATACCCTCTATATGATACCCATATAAACAGGACACTCTCCAGTCAGATACCCTCTATATGATACCCATATAAACAGGACACTCTCCAGTCAGATACCCTCTATACGATACCCATATAAACAGGACACTCTCCAGTCAGATACCCTCTGTACGATACCCATATAAACAGGACACTATCCAGTCAGATACCCTCTATTTGATACCCATATAAACAAGACATTCTCCAGTCAGATAGCCTCTATACGATACCCATATAAACAGGACACTCTCCAGTCAGATACCCTCTATATGATACCCATATAAACAGGACATTCTCCAGTCAGATAGCCTCTATACGATACCCATATAAACAGGACACTCTCCAGTCAGATACCCTCTGTACGATACCCATATAAACAGGACACTCCCCAGTTAGATACCCTCTGTACGATACCCATATAAACAGGACATTCTCCAGTCAGATACCCTCTATATGATACCCATATAAACAGGACACTCTCCAGTCAGGCAGGATAAGAAGTTTCTACACTGATGTAGATGGATTATCCATTTAGTGAAAATATCAAGGTATTAGGCTAAATTATATGATCGCTCCAAGTTGGATCAAACTTCAGAAAATTCTGCAAACCAATCTTCTTTGATATCAGTCTTTGGCAATTCTCTTTCACAATTCTAACCCATCGTTGTCAATTTTTAAAGTGCACATCTAAACCATGTGAGGAGCCACATATCCACTCACTAATTAAGCAATGACAGGTAAGCTTACTGCAGGACATGAGGGACGTGGGTCAGTTGTGATATGTTCACAGACCAGATGACTTTTGACATTTTATTAACAGCACATTGTATAATACCCAAATGACTAAACCAGTTTAATTAACTTTTAAATTCATTATGTGTTTTATTCTCTTTTGGCTAGATAGTAATATGAAGCTTGATCAAAGTGATTTAAAAGCTTGCATGGCTTTGTATAAGGGGACTCAGTCATAGAATTCAAACACTCATGGATCTCCACCAGTGTGTTTCATTTACAAAACATGAACTCCTCGGAATGGAACACTCGAGGGATTATTCAATTGTCGACACTGAATTGAACCATATATTCACAAAATGTATTATAGCCTTATGTACTGTAAACAGAGATTCCGGATAGACTGCATGTAAGGCAAAATAGTCACTTAATTCACCAGCAAATGTTAACTAGAAAAATTGGAGTTCATTATCTGTTGTGGCGATCAAAACATGCAATTTTGCTTCCATCTCAAAATTTACAAAGTAGGCAAAAGAAGGTTGGTTAACAATACTTGGATTTAGATAAATACTCACTGTAAGTTCAGTAAATCTTAAGCATTTCCTAAGTTAGTTAGGTAAGGATATACAGCACAATTATATTGCATCCCAAATCCAATAAGTCAATCACAGCACCATTTTTTTGTCTATGGAACCCAGAAGCAATTCCTTACATAATATCCTACACACATCCTAAAATGCACAAGAAACCAACTACAGTCATCTTCATTTCATTAGTTCTGAGAGTCTAAAAGCTTTTTAAATATCATTTATTATTTCAGAAGGCTCAAGTAAAATGACATTTTTCCTTACTATTGACTCTGAGGCAGGCAGGATGAAAGGAACCTGACATTTAGGCTACTAACCACGAAGTTTGTTCTACAGAGACAACCTTGTTGACATACTAGGTTTGCATGCTGAGTCCCTAAAAGCCTGTTATGTACCCAAGTAATCTGTGCCTAGCACACACACTCTCTTAGCTTTTATTGCACACAAGTAAAACCCATTTGGATGCTAAATTGACTTTGGTCAATCTTCCTAAGATTGCTCCGGAAGGAAATTTCCAAATAATCCAATAGAGAAATGAAATTCCCTTAATTAATTCTCTGTCATTCTTGTCACCATGTTCAATATCCATATTGACACTTCAGTCAATTCCCAGCTAATCTCAGGCCATTCTGAATTAAACAAATAAAACTATACTGAATGTGACATTTCCTCCGCTGAGGCAACACTGCTTCCAAACATGACATTTCCTCCGCTGAGGCAACACTGCTTCCAAACATGACATTTCCTCTGCTGGGGTGACACTGCTTCCAAACATGACATTTCCTCTGCTGGGGTGACACTGCTTCCAAACATGACATTTCCTCTACTGGGGTGACACTGCTTCCAAACCTCTGGGGTGACACTGCTTCTAAACCTGACATTTCCTCTGCTGGCATGACACTGCCCCCAAACCTGACGTTTCCTCTCCTGTGGTTACACTGCTTCCAAACATGACATTTCCTCTGCTGGGGTGACACTGCTTCCAAACATGACATTTCCTCTGCTGGGGTGACACTTTGTGTACAATAATATTTAACACAAACAATACCCAAAGTGTAAGTTCGGACAGGGCATGAGTCAAAAATTACCTCCCTTTGTCAATTGTGTTACAATGCCCTAAATATCAATAACCCGACACAATGTATTATATATGGTAATGTTGTTGATCTGAATGTTATAGATTTGAATTACCGGGTCGTAATTGTACCTGAGTCTGATATATATATAATTGTCTGAAGATGACTGCTAAGCCTGAAAATGTTACTGATCTATTTCATTGATTTAACTTTATAGAAAGTTTTAATGTTCAGTGTCCATATGTTACCAGGTAGACAACCATGTAGACCTACTGAGGCAGCAGAACTCAATGTAAAGTGTCAGGAGATTTGATATTAAAGCATTGATTAATTTACTAATCAGAGATTTTTCTAATTTTATTATTTTTCTATATAAGATACCCCACAAATGATATATATATTTCTATACAAATACCCCATAATGTATCCCACTTATAGTAACCCAGTGTCAGGGTGTTTACAGATCTGATCACAGAAATTTTTTCAATTAAGACATGATTAATGCTTTTCATCTCTGAGTTTAGATTCATACATTGACTTTATCAGTTTTAGACCCAAAAATGTCCCTTGGAATAGATCCCTTTAAATATATGAACCCAAAATTTAAATTTGGAGTCCTTTTCCAATTAGAATTGAACGTACAATTTTCCATATTCACATCTGTGTGAAATTAAATACATAATAAATAAAATTTCATACTCAATGAATTTTCAAGGCCACAGGCCTGGATTCCAGATTTTTCAATGCCCATAGTAAATTCAAGGCTTTTCAATGCCCACAGTTAATTCAAGGCTTTTCAATGCCCACAGTAAATTCAAGGCTTTTCAATGCCCACAGTAAATTCAAGGCTTTTCAATGCCCACAGTTAATTCAAGGCTTTTCAAGGCCAGTAAATTCAAGGCTTTTCAATGCCAGTAAATTCAAGGCTTTTCAATGCCCACAGTAAATTCAAGGCTTTTCAATGCCCACAGTAAATTCAAGGCTTTTCAATGCCAGTAAATTCAAGGCTTTTCAATGCCCAAAGTAAATTCAAGGCTTTTCAATGCCCACAGTTAATTCAAGGCTTTTCAATGCCCACAGTTAATTCAAGGCTTTTCAATGCCCACAGTTAATTCAAGGCTTTTCAATGCCAGTAAATTCAAGGCTTTTCAATGCCAGTAAATTCAAGGCTTTTCAATGCCCACAGTTAATTCAAGGCTTTTCAATGCCAGTAAATTCAAGGCTTTTCAATGCCCACAGTTAATTCAAGGCTTTTCTAGGCCTGTAAATTCAAGGCTTTTCAATGCCCACAGTTAATTCAAGGCTTTTCAAAGACACACAGTGACACTGATGGATTTTTCAAGACTGTCTGCACCCTGAGACTATATGTATACAAATAATATATCAATATACAAATATATATACATATGTATACTTAAATCTGTTTATCTTAATATATACATAAACAGTATCCCATAATGTATAAATAAATATTTACAAATGTTACCCTACACACAGTGCCCCATAGAGTATATAGATATAGGTGTTTATATATACACAAAACATTAACATGACAAGTAGAGTTCCAAATCACTTTTAAGCCTTGTGGCCATCTGCAGGTGATTCCATTGATAAAGGTATATAGTAACCTACATTATGATGTAATACTATAACAACATTCAATCACCTGAAGATGGCCACAAGGATTCATTGGTCATGTTAATGTTTTGTAATCCTTTATATACAATATACAAAGTGGTTCTCATTTTCTGATTATACATATATATATATACAAAGTGGTTCTCATTTTCTGATTATACATATATATATATACAAAGTGGTTCTCATTTTCTAATTATATATATTCAAAAAGTGGGTCTCATTTTCTAATATATATATATATATTAAATATGTCTGTATATATAAAAAGTACCTCAAAGTGTATATAAATATATATACATAAAAAGCTCCAAACCATATACATAGAGAGAGTAAGCAACAGTGTATATATATATATATATAGACACATAAACAGTACCTCACAATGTATATACAGAGAGTACCCCACAGTGTATATATATATAAACATAAACAGTACCCCACAGTGTATATATATATAAACATAAACAGTACCCCACAGTGTATATATATATAAACATAAACAGTACCCCACAGTGAATATATAGATATAAACATAAACAGTACCCCACAGTGTATATATATATATATATATACATATATATACATAAAAAGTACCCCACAGTGTATATATACATAAACATAAACAGTACCCCACAGTGTATATATATATATATAAACATAAACAGAACCCCACAGTGTATATATATATATATAAACATAAACAGTACCCCACAGTGAATATATATATATATACATAAACAGTACCCCACAGTGTATATATATATATATAAACATATATATACAGTACCCCACAGTGTATATATATATATAAACATAAACAGTACCCCACAGTGTATATATATATATATAAACATAAACAGTACCCCACAGTGTATATATATGTAAACATAAACAGTACCCCACAGTGTATATATATATATAAACATAAACAGTACCCCACAGTGTATATATATATATATAAACATAAACAGTACCCCACAGTATATATATAGATATAAACATAAACAGTACCCCACAGTGTATATATATATATATAAACATAAACAGTACCCCACAGTGTATATATATATAAACATAAACAGTACCCCACAGTGTATATATATATATAAACATAAACAGTACCCCACAGTGTATATATATATATATAAACATAAACAGTACCCCACAGTGTATATATATATATAAACATAAACAGTACCCCACAGTGTATATATATATATATAAACATAAACAGTACCCCACAGTGTATATATATATATAAACATAAACAGTACCCCACAGTGTATATATATATATATAAACATAAACAGTACCCCACAGTGTATATATATATATAAACATAAACAGTACCCCACAGTGTATATATATATATAAACATAAACAGTATCCCACAGTGTATATATATAAACATAAACAGTACCCCACAATACACATACAGAGAGTAACCCAGTGTACAGAAATTCTGTGAAGTGAGGTAGTATAACTAAATAGTTCAGGCTATAGTAGTAGGAAACTGAGAGTGCATTAATATCACACAGCAGAACAGGGTTATACAAAGAAAGCTTAATATGCCAGTGAGCTTTCATTTGCTGAGAGCTATTTCCCTATAGGGAAGTGCTAGCAGCTGATGAGTAGAGTATAAAGAATGCATACTTGCTGTGCCCATCACCTGACAACAAGTCAGTTCCTAAGACAATGTCTCCAGTCCTGCAATATAAAACACTCACTCTAATCTCCTGCCTAATTTACTCTGGACCATCAAACCAACAGGTAATAACAATACATTACGGCAGTTTAATACCCAATAAACACACAGGTTACCCCTTCTCTTTTTCAATATCCTATTAAGAACATAATTGCAATCACACAAGCAATAAAACCAAAATCATAAAAAATTGACAATATCTTGGTTTTAATGTCCGCTTTGAAAAGGCTAGATTTGTAATGAAGAAGTTACCACGGTTACTGACAAGTGGAGCTGATATCATTGTGATTTTGTAAGATATATCACGGTAAAGAAGTGCATAAGTAAAAAAAGCATACAATCATACACTTTTATTACTAAATACAATTATACTTTAGGATATACAAAAAAAGCATTCTATCAGAAGTAAATACATATTTGTATAAATATACTGGCTTCAGTCGTATAGCAGTTGTTGGAAGGTATACATCTGTATTGTAGAATAAAATTGACACCAAATCAAACTTTTCACCAGGCTGAAAATTAACATCTCCATCAAGTCTTAACAAAAGTGGTACAACTACAGGTGAAGGATAATATTGTTTTTTGTGGTGACCTTCTTGGTATGGACCTCCCAGCAAGTTCCTGAATCTCACCAAGACTTCAGGTCATCTTTATGACAGGTAGAAAGCTGCGAGGGCCACAACAACAGATGTTATAACATGTCTTTAGGTCATCTGTGTGAATGGTAGACTGCTGACACAGCCACAACAACAGATGTTATAACATGTCTTAAAGTCATCTGTGTAAATGGTAGACAGGTGACACAGCCACAACAACAGATGTTATAACATGTCTTTAGGTCATCTGTGTGAATGGTAGAGAGCTGACACATCCACAACAGATGTTATAACATGTCTTTAGGTCATCTGTGTGAATGGTAGACAGGTGACACAGCCACAATAACAGATGTTATAACATGTCTTTAGGTCATCTGTGTGAATGGTAGACAGGTGACACAGCCACAATAACAGATGTTATAACATGTCTTTAGGTCATCTGTGTGAATGGTAGACAGGTGACACATCCACAACAGATGTTATAACATGTCTTTAGGTCATCTGTGTGAATGGTAGACAGGTGACACAGCCACAATAACAGATGTTATAACATGTCTTTAGGTCATCTGTGTGAATGGTAGACAGCTGACACGGCCACAACAACACATGTTATAACATGTCTTTAGGTCATCTGTGTGAATGGTAGACAGCTGACACGGCCACAACAACAGATGTTATAACATGTCTTTAGGTCATCTGTGTGAATGGTAGACAGGTGACACAGCCACAACAACAGATGTTATAACATGTCTTTAGGTCATCTGTGTGAATGGTAGACAGGTGACACAGCCACAATAACAGATGTTATAACATGTCTTTAGGTCATCTGTGTGAATGGTAGACAGCTGACACAGCCACAATAACAGATGTTATAACATGTCTTTAGGTCATCTGTGTGAATGGTAGACAGCTGACACAGCCACAATAACAGATGTTATAACATGTCTTTAGGTCATCTGTGTGAATGGTAGACAGGTGACACAGCCACAACAACAGATGTTATAACATGTCTTTAGGTCATCTGTGTGAATGGAAGACAGCTGACACAGCCACAATAACAGATGTTATAACATGTCTTTAGGTCATCTGTGTGAATGGTAGACAGGTGACACAGCCACAATAACAGATGTTATAACATGTCTTTAGGTCATCTGTGTGAATGGTAGACAGCTGACACAGCCACAACAACAGATGTTATAACATGTCTTTAGGTCACCTGTGTAAAAATCAGACATGTTCCCTGGTACAAGTGTTATATAACACCAAATATGTCCCCTAGTATGAGCGTTGAATGAAATCAGACCTGTTCCCTGGTACAAGTGTTCTATAACATCAGACATGTTCCCTGGTACAAGTGTTCTATAACATCAGACATGTTCCCTGGTACAAGTGTTCTATAACATCAGACATGTTCCCTGGTACAAGTGTTCTATAACATCAGACATGTTCTCTGGTACAAGTGTTCTATAACATCAGACATGTTCCCTGGTACAAGTGTTCTATAACATCAGACATGTTCTCTGGTACAAGTGTTGTATGAATGACTGACCGATAGCTGTACGTAGATTAAAAACATTTGGCGTACACACAATCTGCCTATGTATACTGATCAATTACAAAAGTTGTTGACTGCATCTTCAAAAACGTGTTGGTATTACTCATGATAATTTGATTAGAAAAGAAAAAACAATCGACAAACAGTTATAGGTTCTTGCTGATTAAAGCCACTTAAATATCCTCCATTGTCTGATCATCAATATCAGCTGTTGTAGAAGGTAATTTGCCTTAAGCATCTGTTTAGAAGCCAATATCATCATTGACTTTACTCTGCTAACTTTATTTTTTTTTTTTTTGTAATATGATCGTAAGCAAGAAATGACAATACAGGATGGGCGACCATTATCACTTAGACTGACTGACCCATCTCACAGTGGATAACCCAAGAAAAACACTGTGTCATTGTCATGATACAGAAAACACTGTGTCACTGTCATAATACAGAAAACACTCACTGTGTCACTGTCATAATACAGAAAACACTGTGTCACTGTCATAATACAGAAAACACTGTGTCACTGTCATAATACAGAAAACACTGTGTCACTGTCATAATACAGAAAACACTGTGTCACTGTCATAATACAGAAAACACTCACTGTGTCACTGTCATAATACAGAAAACACTGTGTCACTGTCATAATACAGAAACACTGTGTCACTGTCATAATACAGAAACACTGTGTTACTGTCATAATACAGAAAACACTGTGTCACTGTCATAATACAGAAAACACTCACTGTGTCACTGTCATAATACAGAAAACACTGTGTCACTGTCATAATACAGAAAAAACACTGTGTCACTGTCATAATACAGAAAACACTGTGTCACTGTCATAATACAGAAAAGAAAACACTGTGTCACTGTCATAATACAGAAAACACTGTGTCACTGTCATAATACAGAAAACACTCACTGTGTCACTGTCATAATACAGAAAACACTGTGTCACTGTCATAATACAGAAAACACTGTGTCACTGTCATAATACAGAAACACTGTGTCACTGCCATAATACAGAAAACACTGTGTCACTGTCATAATATAAAAATAACAAGGGATGGGTTATGCTCCCCAAATGGGACAAAAATTAACTATGAAAATTACAATGGGCAATAACTGTTACATTATGCAGTGAGAGTGATGGCTCTTGAGCACTGCACTTCTCCTTGTTGAGATCTATCTACCTATGAAGTTTTATGTTGATATCTCTTATAGTTTTTTGTGTTAAGCTCCAGACAAAATTATGATGGACAGACAAACAGATGAACAAATGGAGCCAAAACTGATATTCCCTGCAAACATATTTCGCGCAGGTTGAAAATAAAAACCTAAATCTTTGTAAGACCATGTATCACCTAAAACCTTAAATTCTACAATGGATGCCTCAATCTCTCTACTTCCATGTAACACCCAAAACCTTAAATTCTACAATGGACACGGGAATCTGTGTACTAGCATGTATCACTGTGCACTAGCATGTATCACTGTGCATTAGCACTAGACTATCCCAAAGTCCTGCTTTGGAAACTAATCTATAAAGGATTAAATGTAATAAACAATGCTGTCAAAAGAATTATGTCCATAAAACCATGAACGTGCTGATCAGAGAATGTACAACACAGCTATTTAGAAACTGTAGATGAGATGATGGAGGACACAACTGGCCTTCCTACCATCATATAATTAGATCTGGGGATACAGAAAAGTCTACCTTCAATTATCTAGACACATCAATCATTCAGAACTTTTTAGCATTAATATCCCATTCATACACAGTCATCCATGAAAAAAATGCAAGCAGGATGCCACCTTTGAATACAGTGTATATCAAAGGTATTGATCTGGCCCAGCTGGGAAACCATCAGTTAATTTGTCCAGTACTTGGTACTCAGGCAAAGGACCAACTCCAGCCAGGAGGAAGCAAGCATATTTTACAGTGCATCAGCACTCTGACACTGTCATTAACAACCATTTATGGGTACTGACAACACACAGTGTCTAAAAGACAAAAAATATCATTTCCAGGGGTTCACAGATATCACATCCTGACTACAGAAACATCAGATCTAGAGGATCACAAATATCACATCCTGACCACAGAAACATCAGATCTAAAGGATCACAAATATCACATCCTGACTACAGAAACATCAGACCCAGAGGATCACAAATATCACATCCTGACCACAGAAACATCAGACCCAGAGGATCACAAATATCACATCCTGACCACAGAAACATCAGACCCAGAGGATCACAAATATCACATCCTGACCACAGAAACATCAGATCTAAAGGATCACAAATATCACATCCTGACCACAGAAACATCAGATCTAGAGGATCACAAATATCACATCCTGACCACAGAAACATCAGATCTAAAGGATCACAAATATCACATCCTGACCACAGAAACACAGAAACAAATATCACATCCTGACCACAGAAACTACTAGAGGATCACAAATATCACATCCTGACCACAGAAACATCAGACCCAGAGGATCACAAATATCACATCCTGACCACAGAAACATCAGATCTAGAGGATCACAAATATCACATCCTGACCACAGAAACATCAGACCCAGAGGATCACAAATATCACATCCTGACCACAGAAACATCAGACCCAGAGGATCACAAATATCACATCCTGACCACAGAAACATCAGATCTAGAGGATCACAAATATCACATCCTGACCACAGAAACATCAGACCCAGAGGATCACAAATATCACATCCTGACTACAGAAACATCAGATCTAGAGGATCACAAATATCACATCCTGACCACAGAAACATCAGACCTAGAGGATCACAAATATCACATCCTGACTACAGAAACATCAGACCCAGAGGATCACAAATATCACATCCTGACCACAGAAACATCAGATCTAGAGGATCACAAATATCACATCCTGACTACAGAAACATCAGAGATCTAGAGGATCACAAATATCACATCCTGACCACAGAAACATCAGATCTAAAGGATCACAAATATCACATCCTGACTACAGAAACATCAGACCTAGAGGATCACAAATATCACATCCTGACTACAGAAACATCAGACCCAGAGGATCACAAATATCACATCCTGACTACAGAAACATCAGACCTAGAGGATCACAAATATCACATCCTGACCACAGAAACATCAGACCCAGAGGATCACAAATATCACATCCTGACCACAGAAACATCAGACCTAGAGGATCACAAATATCACATCCTGACCACAGAAACATCCTAGAGGATCACAAATATCACATCCTGACCACAGAAACATCAGATCTAGAGGATCACAAATATCACATCCTGACCACAGAAACATCAGATCTAGAGGATCACAAATATCACATCCTGACCACAGAAACATCAGATCTAGAGGATCACAAATATCACATCCTGACCACAGAAACATCAGATCTAGAGGATCACAAATATCACATCCTGACTACAGAAACATCAGACCCAGAGGATCACAAATATCACATCCTGACCACAGAAACATCAGATCTAGAGGATCACAAATATCACATCCTGACCACAGAAACATCAGATCAGATCTAGAGGATCACAAATATCACATCCTGACCACAGAAACATCAGATCTAGAGGATCACAAATATCACATCCTGACCACAGAAACATCAGATCTAGAGGATCACAAATATCACATCCTGACCACAGAAACATCAGATCTAGAGGATCACAAATATCACATCCTGACCACAGAAACATCAGGATCACAAATATCACATCCTGACCACAGAGGATCACAAATATCACATCCTGACCACAGAAACATCAGACCCAGAGGATCACAAATATCACATCCTGACCACAGAAACATCAGATCTAGAGGATCACAAATATCACATCCTGACCACAGAAACATCAGATCTAGAGGATCACAAATATCACATCCTGACCACAGAAACATCAGATCTAAAGGATCACAAATATCACATCCTGACCACAGAAACATCAGATCTAGAGGATCACAAATATCACATCCTGACCACAGAAACATCAGACCCAGAGGATCACAAATATCACATCCTGACCACAGAAACATCAGATCTAGAGGATCACAAATATCACATCCTGACCACAGAAACATCAGATCTAAAGGATCACAAATATCACATCCTGACCACAGAAACATCAGACCCAGAGGATCACAAATATCACATCCTGACCACAGAAACATCAGACCCAGAGGATCACAAATATCACATCCTGACCACAGAAACATCAGACCTAGAGGATCACAAATATCACATCCTGACCACAGAAACATCAGAGATCTAGAGGATCACAAATATCACATCCTGACCACAGAAACATCAGATCTAAAGGATCACAAATATCACATCCTGACCACAGAAACATCAGATCTAGAGGATCACAAATATCACATCCTGACCACAGAAACATCAGATCTAGAGGATCACAAATATCACATCCTGACCACAGAAACATCAGAGGATCACAAATATCACATCCTGACCACAGAAACATCAGACCTAGAGGATCACAAATATCACATCCTGACCACAGAAACATCAGATCTAAAGGATCACAAATATCACATCCTGACTACAGAAACATCAGAGATCTAGAGGATCACAAATATCACATCCTGACCACAGAAACATCAGATCTAGAGGATCACAAATATCACATCCTGACCACAGAAACATCAGATCTAGAGGATCACAAATATCACATCCTGACCACAGAAACATCAGATCTAGAGGATCACAAATATCACATCCTGACCACAGAAACATCAGATCTAGAGGATCACAAATATCACATCCTGACCACAGAAACATCAGATCTAGAGGATCACAAATATCACATCCTGACCACAGAAACATCAGATCTAGAGGATCACAAATATCACATCCTGACCACAGAAACATCAGGTCCAGAGGATCACAGATATCACATCCTGACCACAGAAACATCAGATCTAGAGGATCACAAATATCACATCCTGACCACAGAAACATCAGATCTAAAGGATCACAAATATCACATCCTGACCACAGAAACATCAGATCTAGAGGATCACAAATATCACATCCTGACCACAGAAACATCAGATCTAGAGGATCACAAATATCAACAGGAGGGAGTACATTTAACCAAGAACTTCGAACAAGACCGCATATATTGAACAATGATTTCAACAGGACAGAGGGCATTTAACCAAGGACTTCAACAGGACAAACAACATTTAACCAAGGACTTCAACAGGACTGAGGACATTTGACAAAGGACTTCAACAGGACAGAGGGCATTTAACTAAGTACTCCAACAGAACAGACGACATTTAACCAAGGACTCCAACAGGACAGACGACATTCAACCAAGGACTTCAACAGGACAGACGACATTTAACCAAGGACTTCAACAGGACAGACAACATTTAACCAAGGACTTCAACAGGACAGACAACATTTAACCAAGGACTCCAACAGGACAGACGACATTTAACCAAGGACTCCAACAGGACAGACGACATTTAACCAAGGACTTCAACAGGACAGATGACATTTAACCAAGGACTCCAACAGGACAGACAACATTTAACCAAGGACTTCAACAGGACAGAGGACATTTAACCAAGGACTCCAACAGGACAGACGACATTTAACCAAGGACTCCAACAGGACAGACGACATTTAACCAAGGAATCCAACAGGACAGACGACATTTAACCAAGGACTCCAACAGGACAGAGGACATTCACCTATGAACTACAACAGGACAGTTGATATTAAACCAAGGACTCCAATATGAAAGTGAATGTGCTGACTACAACATCTACTCAAGACACCAAAACTAGCAGTGATGGGCCAATGACCTAAACATTGTGTTTGAAGTAAGTAGTGTATTACACACAGTAAGTAATGTTTGACAACATGTAGTCAGCCCTCAACAAGCCACTACCAGGCATTGCATGTATTAAAGAGAAATCATCCTCACTGTTGATACCAAGCTCCATGTATTTTAAATGTTAATCATACTTTCATTCACATTCAATTATCCTGTGTAACACTGATGTATTTACAATACCCTAAGTCACACTTTGTTTTGTATTGAACATAACTATGACACTCTATAGTAACATTTTGTATTGAACATAACTATGATACTCGATAGTAACGTTTTGTATTGAACATAACTATGATACTCTATAGTAACGTTTTGTATTGAACATAACTATGATACTCTATAGTAACGTTTTGTATTGAACATAACTATGATACTCTATAGTAACGTTTTGTATTGAACATAACTATGATACTCTATAGTAACGTTTTGTATTGAACATAAATATGATACTCTATAGTAACATTCTGTATTGAACATAAATATGATTCCCTATAGTAACGTTTTGTATTGAACATAACTATGATACTCGATAGTAACGTTTTGTATTGAACATAACTATGACACTCTATAGTAACGTTTTGTATTGAACATAACTATGACACTCTATAGTAACATTTTGTATTGAACATAACTATGATACTCGATAGTAACATTCTGTATTGAACATAAATATGATTCCCTATAGTAACGTTTTGTATTGAACATAACTATGACACTCTATAGTAACGTTTTGTATTGAACATAACTATGATACTCTATAGTAACGTTTTGTATTGAACATAACTATGATACTCTATAGTAACATTTTGTATTGAACATAACTATGATACTCTATAGTAACATTTTGTATTGAACATAACTATGATACTCTATAGTAACGTTTTGTATTGAACATAACTATGATACTCTATAGTAACATTTTGTATTGAACATAACTATGATACTCTATAGTAACGTTTTGTATTTAACATTACTATTGTCACCTTATGCACTAAATACCCTATATTCACCTTCAGTCACCAAATACACATTTCTGAAAAAGTTTTACCAACTGCTCTGAAAATGTCTTCGATCCTGTTTAATAAGAGCATTGCTGTTACCTACCAGAACCCTCACACATGTTTTACATTCTACGTATAAACAATATCGGCCTAAATAAGCCATGGTAACACTTACGTTGTACTTGAAGTAGTAGCAATGGCTCGATAGTGAGCCTCCTTTTCAGTGGGAAAACTTATATCCACAGAACTTGAGCGCACTTGTTTAGGAACTTCCAGAGTTCCCTCATCAAATGACTCCTGTCGCTGTACGATACCACGTCCACTTTTAAATATCACCTCATTCGTTGGTGACTGTGAGTTTAGGACGGTGGCATCCACAGATGAGGAGCGACAGGTGCGTATGATGGGAACTTCCAGAGTTAGGGCGTTTGTATAGCTACACATAATATCCTCAACCTCTTTATCATGAGGTCCACAACTTTCGTCCGAGTCGCTCCCAGAGTCCAGTGACCCTGTATCCAATGACAACTCCTCATCACTGGATACATCGTAATCCACCTCATTACGGCGGCCCTCCTCTTCCTTACACTGCTCCTCATACTGTTCCATATGTACACAGTGAATGCATAGTTTGGGAATTTCAAATGAAGACCTGCGTCTTGAGTATTTAGAAATAAGACTGTAACGACGTCCCTCACGCTCAAATTCCTCCTCTTGTCCCCATCCCGAGGAAGAAGAATCAAACGACTGACAACGTCGACCTGGACTTGGAACTTCCAAGAACTCTGTAGTCTCCTTATGTAAACTACTGGAATCAAAACTAGAGGAACGTGCCCTTGCCTCCACAGGAACCTCAAGACAAATTACCTCATCAAATTCATGGTCGTCAATGGACGTCTGCTTCTCACGAGGTAAACACAATCTTGGCAAATCAAATGAAGGTGAAATACACCTAGTTTTCCTGAAAATGTTCATTTTCTTCATAAGATTTCGTTGTGTAGTAATAATTACAAATAATAGGAGTGCATAGTTAGGTGTTGCCCTGGTAAACAGGACATACACTGCGACGTGATACAGTTGTCACTGATGCTCCTGGTGAACTCATTGCTGTCACCCTTGAGCAACTGTTTGAGGAAGGAGTGGTGTGTCTACAGGTTGCTCGCTGTCATCCATGTGGGATGCTCCTTTGCTGCCCTTTAGCCTCAACCAAGCATCAGTCCACTTTGACGTAGTTATCTGTAGACTGTTTAAATATTAATTCACTCTCCAAACTCATTTTTAACATCTCACCAGCACATTCAATTATCGTAATTAAATTTTCACCTCCATAAGAAGTCCAGGTTGTTTTTGTTGATTAGCCATAGAGAGGCCCAACCATTGTACCAGCTCAACCATTGTCTTACCTCATGTGCCACAGGTATACAGCCACATAAACCTACCTGTCTCATAGGTTTACAAATTCTCAATACATCACATAAATCTATAATGTAGTTCTATCGATAAATGATAAAAACAACTTTGAACTGGAACAGCCCACAAGCTTGTCATTTGCTTTACTATCTGTGTGATCAGCAGGCTGCCTATGGCCGAGTGACTGTGTGTGGCACTCTCCAGCAGGGAGCTGTACACAGCCAATACTACAGCCTCCCCAGCTGTATACACAGTCGCCACCTGTAGTATACACTCATTCACCACCTGTACCAGTCCATCCCACATTGGTATAAATACTACTAATATAATGAAACAGGAATCAAATTATCCACCACCTGTTTATGTATATACTGGATATAGACTCACAGCATCAACTATATCATTCTTGATGATGTCTTAAACATATCTCCGGTAAAATACATATCATCTTGTCAGTTAAGTCAATTGCACATGTTCTTACCTCTATGTTATACATGTCCTTACCTGTGTACTACACCTTTCCTTACATATATATGTCAAACATTATACCTTATATACTACATCTGTCCTTCCCTACATCTGTCCTTACCTATATACTACACCTGTCCTTCCCTATTACCACATCTGTCCTTACCTATATACTACATCTGTCCTTACCTATATACCACATCTGTCCTTCCCTTTATACTACATCTGTCCTTCCCTATTACCACATCTGTCCTTACCTATATACTACATCTGTCCTTACCTATATACTACACCTGTCCTTACCTATATACTACACCTGTCCTTCCCTTTATACTACATCTGTCCTTCCCTATTACCACATCTGTCCTTACCTATATACTACATCTGTCCTTACCTATATACCACATCTGTCCTTACCTATATACTACATCTGTCCTTACCTATATACTACATATGTCCTTACATATATACCACATCTGTCCTTCCCTACATCTGTCCTTACCTATAAACTACACCTGTCCTTCCCTATATACTACATCTGTCCTTACCTATAAACTACACCTGTCCTTCCCTATATACTACACCTGTCCTTTCCTATATACTACATCTATCCTTCCCTATTACCACATCTGTCATTACCTATATACTACATCTGTCCTTACCTATATACCACATCTGCCCTTACCTATATACTACATCTGTCCTTACCTATATACTACATATGACCTTACATATATACCACATCTGCCCTTACCTATATACTACACCTGTCCTTACCTATATACTACATTTGTCCTTCCCTGTATACTACATCTGTCCTTACCTATATACTACATCTGTCTTACCTATATACTACATCTGTCCTTCCCTATATACTACACATGTCCTGACCTATATAATCCATCACTACATCTGTCCTTACCTATATACTACATCTGTCCTTACTTATATACTACACTTCTCCTGACCTATACACTACATCTGTCCTTACCTATATACTACATATGTCCTTACCTATATACTACACCTGTCCTTACCTATATACTACACCTGTCCTTACCTATATGCTACATCCATCCTTACCTATATAATACATCACTGCATCCGTCCTTACCTATATACTACATCTGTCCTTACCTATATAACACATATGTCCTTACCTATATACTATATCTGTCCTTACCTATATACTACACATGTCCTTACCTATATAACACATATGTCCTTACCTATATACTATATCTGTCCTTACCTATATAATACATCACTTCACCTGTCCTTACCTATATACTACACTTATCCTGACCTATACACTACATATGTCCTTACCTATATACTACACCTATCCTTCCCTATATACTACACCTGTCCTGACCTATATACTACATCTGTCCTTACCTATATACTACACTATCCTTCCCTATATACTACACCTGTCCTTACCTATATACTACACCTGTTCTTCCCTCAATACTACACCTGTCCTTGCCTCAATACTACACCTGTCCTTACCTATATACTACATCTGTCCTTACCTATATACTACACCTGTCCTTACCTATATACTACACCTGTCCTTACCTATATACTACATCTGTCCTCACCTATATAATCCATCACTACATCCGTCCTTACCTAAATACTACATCTGTCCTTACCTACATACTACACCTGTCCTTACCTATATACTACACCTGTCCTTACCTATATAGTACATATGTCCTTACCTATATACTATATCTGTCCTTACCTACATACTACACCTGTCCTTACCTATATAGTACACCTGTCCTTACCTATATACTACACCTGTCCTTACCTATATACTACATCTGTCCTTACCTATATAGTACACCAGTCCTTACCTATATACTACACCTGTCCTTACCTATATACTACATCTGTCCTTACGTATATACTACATCTTTCCTTACCTATATACTACATCTGTCCTTACCTATATAATCCATCACTACATCTGTCCTTACCTATATACTACACCTGTCCTTACCTATATACTACATCATGTCCCATCACTCCCTATACATCATGGCCATCCTTACACACCTTGTTGGTGTAAACCTGCTGTATATAAAACGATTGTTCTACTATTACATGCTCCTGACAATTAAGTGGTAAAGCATCCATGTAATCAACTCAAAAGCAATTAATATTTGATGAGGCACTACTAATTGCTGGCCTGCACAAACACATGACCACGGCCTCGGCCTCGACTTGATCATCTGTGCCTAGTGTACACAACAGGTCTAAATCTACAACACTGGAACATTACACACACATCATGTACCTACTGTAGGTATATATCTACACCACTGACACACCACCTACTGTAGGTATATATCTACACCACTGACACACCACCTACTGTAGGTATATATCTACACCACTGACACACCACCTACTGTAGGTATATATCTACACCACTGACACACCACCTACTGTAGGTATATATCTACACCACTGACACACCACCTACTGTAGGTATATATCTACACCACTGACACACCACCTACTGTAGGTATATATCTACACCACTGACACACCACCTACTGTAGGTATATATCTACACCACTGACACACCACCTACTGTAGGTATATATCTACACCACTGACACACCACCTACTGTAGGTATATATCTACACCACTGACACACCACCTACTACCTACTGTAGGTATATATCTACACCACTGACACACCACCTACTGTAGGTATATATCTACACCACTGACACACCACCTACTGTAGGTATATATCTACACCACTGACACACCACCTACTGTAGGTATATATCTACAACACTGACACACCACCTACTGTAGGTATATATCTACACCACTGACACACCACCTACTGTAGGTATATATCTATACCACTGACACACCACCTACTGTAGGTATATATCTACATCACTGACACACCACCTACTGTAGGTATATATCTACACTGACACACCACCTACTGTAGGTATATATCTACACCACTGACACACCACCTACTGTAGGTATATATCTACACCACTGACACACCACCTACTGTAGGTATATATCTACACCACTGACACACCACCTACTGTAGGTATATATATCTGACACACCACTGACACACCACCTACTGTACCTACTGTAGGTATATATCTACACCACTGACACAGCACCTACTGTAGGTATATATATACACTGACACACCACCTACTGTAGGTATATATCTACACTGACACACCACCTACTGTAGGTATATATCTACACCACTGACACACCACCTACTGTAGGTATATATCTACACCACTGACACACCACCTACTGTAGGTATATATATACACTGACACACCACCTACTGTAGGTATATATCTACACCATTGACACACCACCTACTGTAGGTATATATCTACACTGACACACCACCTACTGTAGGTATATATCTACACCACTGACACACCACCTACTGTAGGTATATATCTACACTGACACACCACCTACTGTAGGTATATATCTACACCATTGACACACCACCTACTGTAGGTATATATCTACACCACTGACACACCACCTACTGTAGGTATATATCTACACCACTGACACACCACCTACTGTAGGTATATATACACCACTACACTGTAGGTATATATCTACACCACTGACACACCACCTACTGTAGGTATATATCTACACCACTGACACACCACCTACTGTGGGTATATATCTACACTAACACACCACCTACTGTAGGTATATATCTACACCACTGACACACCACCTACTGTAGGTATATATCTACACTGACATACCACCTACTGTAGGTATATATCTACACCACTGACACACCACCTACTGTAGGTATATATCTACACCACTGACACACCACCTACTGTAGGTATATATATATCTACACCACTGACACACCACCTACTGTGGTATAGGTATATACCTACTGTAGGTATATATCTGACACACACCACTGACACACCACCTACTGTAGGTATATATCTACACCACTGACACACCACCTACTGTAGGTATATATATACTGTAGGTATATATCTACACACTGACACACCACCACTGACACTGACACACCACCTACTGTAGGTATATATCTGACACACACCTACTGTAGGTATATATCTACACTGACACACCACCTACCTACTGTAGGTATATATCTACACCACTGACACACCACCTACTGTAGGTATATATCTACACCACTGACACACCACCTACTGTAGGTATATATCTACACCACTGACACACCACCTACTGTAGGTATATATCTACACCACTGACACACCACCTACTGTAGGTATATATCTACACCACTGACACACCACCTACTGTAGGTATATATCTACACCACTGACACACCACCTACTGTAGGTATATATGACACACCACCTACTAGGTATATATCTACACACTGACACACCACCTACTGTAGGTATATATCTACACACTGACACACCACCTACTGTAGGTATATATCTACACCACTGACACACCACCTACTGTAGGTATATATCTACACTGACACACCACCTACTGTAGGTATATATCTACACTGACACACCACCTACTGTAGGTATATATCTACACCACTGACACACCACCTACTGTACCTACTGTAGGTATATATCTACACCACTGACACACCACCTAC